TTTTTGGTCTGATCCAGCAGGACTCGTATTTTTAGGATGAGGTCAATGGATCGGAAACACAACGTATTTTTTTATACACATAGCCCCCTCCGCACAATGCATTTTTTAAAACATAAACGGGACTACAAGAAGCCTCTGCCCCAAGGAGCTTACAAAGCTACATTTTGACAGCAGCAAGGGAACAAATGAGGAAGGGGAGGAGTAGGAGAGGGAAGGCTAACAAGGGATGAATGTTAGAAAATGAAGCTGTATGTACTTAGCGACTTCCTTTCACCTGTGGCAAGGCCCGGAGCGCGGCTTAAAACAGTTCAAAGCAAAAGAGGGTTTGGAAGACAATGGAGGAGAACATACAGAGGTAACTGCACACAAACCACATATTTAGAGCACATGACTTCTCCCAAAGAATTCTGGGAACAGTAGTTCACCCTTCGCGGAACTACAATTCCCAGCAGCGCTAAGGAACTACAGTTCCCAGGATTGTTTCTGGGGATGCATGGTGCAGCCAAAAATCTGTTTCTTCATCCTGTGAAGCCTGAGCTCACAGTCAAAGATGAACTCATGGTTAAGAGTCCCACAGGTCTTCCACAGGGGTGGAAGCGATTCATCTCGATCGCCCTGTCCTGTCCCAGGCTGCCCTCAACTCAGGAAGTGAGTTCAGACCCTGTGGAAATGGAGCAGACTCCACAATGACCAAAAGAAAAAAAGGAAAGGGAAAGGTACAAGCTTTCAGAAAAGCCAGTGTTTTATTCCAAGCACAGCGTTCAAGCGGCAACAGCAGCAGAGATTTATACCGGTGCAATTTGCAAAACTCAGCTTTAGCAGCTTCCTGAGATCCTGCACTGCAAATATTTTTACCCTTCCAGAAAGCACTAGGAAAATAGGAAGCTGCGAAGCAGCTTGGAAAACAATGGCGTTTAGGTACAACTCCCAAGGTCAGGAAAACGCTGCCACACATTAACTAGGCTTTCTCTCTCTCTCTTTTTTGGAGAGGGGGTGACTTCAGTTCACAGCTAACTTGTTATCCAAACAGAAGCTGACCGTCAGCAGCAAACCAGCCACTAGCAGCCCACAGCAAGCCTTGGCCATTCATTCGTGGGGCCGGGGAATATGACCAAGGTTGGCCGCTGCAATCCTTGTAAACGTTACCCTTTGGTTGAGCACATGCCAGAAGTCACAGGTGCAATCTAACAGGATCTCAGGTAGCAGTCACAGAATCACAGAACTGCAGAGTTGGAAGGGACCCCTGAATGTCATCTAGCCCAACCCCCTGCAATGCAGTCAACTAAGGAAGATCTTTGCAAAAGACCCTGGGGAGCAGCTGCCAGTCAGAGCAGCCAGTATACTCCTCCCAGTGCCTTTTCTTTTTCTGCTGCAGCGTCTTTTAGATTGCAAGCCCAAGTGCTGGGACTGCTGCATCGCTAACACTTGTAAGGCACTCTTTCTGGCTGAAGAGGAATATTATTATTATTTTTTAAAAAACCAAGCACCACTCTAAATAAATACATAATCATAATGGCAGGTTAGGTAGTCCAATGGTCTCTAATGCAATGTAAGTCAGAGGCACAGAACAAAACATCACCAATCCAGTTCTGAACTCTCCACTAGAAATGAAGCCTCTTTGTCTGAATTCATTCTGTGCTTCCTGGCTAATTCAAAACATGATTTCTCTTCATTAGGTCAGGAGTCACACCTTTCTCCAGTCTCCCACCCTCTCTCTTTTTAACCTTAGTCTCTCTTACTTACACAGCCCAAAGACACCTGCCCAAACAGAAGCAGAAAGCTCAAACTCACTTCCACGGGATGAGCCTTTTAAACCCCATCAGGAAAGTCTGCTCCTATTTGGGCATAACGGTGATGCTTCAATGAAAAAAGAACGAGCAGTTTTCAAGGCAGCCCCACCGGTCCCCTCCTTTATATTTTCCTCCTGCCAAGACGCACAAGAGGATTTTAAAATACTAATACTTGTTCAGATTACCCATGGAGATATCGAGTATCGAGGCCTCACTTTCTCAGCCACCTTCCGATTTTACAGATGGGACACAAGTCTGGAAAATAAATATACTACAGCTTAGCACTGGAATAATGCTTCTGGGCGTTCAAAGAGATCCTCATTTTCTCCCTTAGTAATCCTTACAAACAATCCTGTAAGGTGGATCAGTGTTGCTATCCCTAGGCTGCAGATGAAAAAAGGGTTGAGAGTAGGAATTGGTTTTCCGTCCAAGACTGGTGTGTATAGGACTGTAGCCTATATAGGAATAAACCTACCATGAACTAACTCAACGGAACTGACTTCTGAGTAAACATGAATAGGACTGCACTGCTAATGATCTCATGGCTAACAGTGCAATCCTAACCATGAATATGCATATAAGTAAATCCTTCTGATTTCCATGGGGCTTAATCTCAGGTCAGTGGGTTTCAGATTGTGACCTAGAATGGGATTTGAAGGGGAGGGGGCTCTTTAGCTGGAGCTAAAGTCCCAGCGAATCCCTGACTGCATTGGATCTGAAACAGAACCTCGCAGGCTCAAGTTCAGCCCTTCACTCAAGGTACCACAATGGTTCATTTACAGCATCCTCTTAACTTTCTGAGAGGTAGGGAAGGAAAACTTTCAAAACTCCTAGGCGCTTGCATCAGATTTTAGGTGCTGGAGACCAGCCTCAGAAACATCTGAGGTGCAAAGCGCAGAAAGAAGCCTTTACCCATGTTCCAAACAAGGTCTGAATCAGCAATATTGCGTGAGTAAAAAGGGATGAAAATCGCATGACATCTAAGTGCCGCACAAATTGCCTTGGTTTCCTTAAGGCTAAGGCATTCATTTCTCCTGTTCCAAGCCAATATTCCCATAGCGGATCCCAACCCCTCCCTCTGAAGGTCTGGACGCAGCAACAGTTCACACCTTCTGCTTGTCATTCTCACTTCTTTGAGGAGGAGGTTTTAGCCTCAGTGTCTCAGGTATCCTGACACAGACCCCATCAGCAACCTTAAGAAGCACCTTCTCCCTTTTCAACCTGTGCACATTTTGCATACTAACATTCTCATCACGCCAAAAAGAAAAGGAAAAAATAGAGAACAGATTCTTCAGCACAAGCGCTTTGCGTCGAAAACCTTCCCTGCCTCCTGTCCACAACTCAGTGAGGTCAAAATATTTCAGCTCGTTTTAGTGCACTCAAGGCAATAGGAATACGAAAGTTTGAGATTAATGCAGCTGTAGCTAAACTGCCTATAAGCAGAGCATCAGTTGCCCCAGTCGGCACTGAGACCAGTTCCCCAGCAAGACTTGGCAGACATGAAACCCAACCTCCCAACCTTATATCCTTATTTTCATTTCTTAACATAATAATTCTCCATTTCAGGCACTCTGAAATGCACTAGGACCGTCAAGATGAAGACAGCTGCCCTGCAAGATCATCAAAAAAGAATTTGTCATTGGTCTCGCTCCTAAGATCCCAGCAAACCCTAGCCGTAAAGTAGCAAGCAGAAACCATCCTGCCATCATCACACACAAGTCATGCAAATCCCACACATCATGCAAAACAGGATTTTTTTTGTTCATGTGGTTTGCACTGAAGGAGGGAGAAGCATCCCTGTTTGACTTTTCTCATGACCTGAGGGATCACCACCTTGACCTAAGCAAGAACACATTTGTTAGGAAACAATCATGTCAGACTGGCGTGGCTTTGCCTGGCTAATTCAATGCAAAGATTATCAGGGCTCCATTAAGCCTAAGGTTTTCAGATGCTTGGGAGGGGAAAACGCAAAGTAAAATCCAGACAACATCACATCTTCCCTTTCAAGGAAATAATCCAGGATAAACACGATCGGTATCATCGACAACAGTATCTCAACCCAGTTCAGGACCACCAGAACCACTCAAGACATATGAGCACATCAAGACGATTAATCCAAGCTTTCATTTCACTTTGCCTGCCTCCCAAAAGGATGGCTAAAGTGAGATAAGAGGCAACTAGGAACCAGTGATAAGTGATCATGAGCAAGCACCCATCTAGGCATTTCATCCCCACCTCTTTTTGCCCCCAAATCAGACCTTTCAAGGGGAAAGAAAGGGGCGCCTGTATTCCTTTTTAAAAACTTCCCCACCAAAAATTTTAAATAAATAAGAAATACCCCCTCTTTTTTAAAAAAAGCTATTTGCAAAAGACTTCCTCGCCACACACAAAACTCAGAAGGAAAAACATTCCCCCTCTTTCCATTGACTCTTAAAAATTCTCATACGCCACAAAAGTTACTTGGGGTGCATTTTTTGCCACCTCCCACCCACCCCACCCCTCCTAACTCCCAAAGGTTGCAATGAATCGCTCCTACCAGAACCCCCAAAAAGAGGTGAATGGGGGGGGGGAGAGGTGGTGGAAGTCATGCCCCACTTTTCCTCTCCCCTTTTGCAAGATCACTCCCACCCCCCAACTCCCCACCCCAGATCATGCCCTTCCCTGCCCAAAGGACAACTCACCTTTGGGTCCCGCTTCCTTCCTTCTCCACTTGACCATTGAACGGCAGGAGTTGGGGGGTGAGGGGGGGTGGCTCCCAAAATGCAGAAAAGGAAAGAGGCTGGCTTGGTGGGTTTTTCCTCCCCCTTTTCCTTGCAGGGGGGGTCTGCAAAAATAAAATGAGGGGGGGCAGTGTGCCCAGGGGTGTGTGCCAAGCCCCCAGCCCCAGCTCCCCCTGGCGCCCCCCAAGGAAGAGAAGGGGGAAAAAACCCTCCCACTCCTCCCTGCTCCCCTCTGAGCTCAATCAGACCAGACTGGCTGCCTTTGTCTGTCTGACAAGCGCCATGTTGATATCAACATCCAAGCTCCCACCTGCCGCCGCGGGGAGGCCCTGGGATTTGTAGTCCTCCATCCCCAAGGGGGCCGGCGCAGGCCGGTCGGGTGGGGACTACGGCTCCCGGCGGCCCCCGCGCGCCGCCGCCGCCGCGCCAATGAGGCGGCAGGAGACGGGAGAGCGAGGAGCAGGTTGGCGCCGGGGTGAAACGCAGCCAGGAGGGGACTACGGTTCCCGGCATGCTCTTCGGCCGGCTGCCCATGACTTCATTGGGGACAGAATGAGGAGGGCACCATAGGGAGACTACATATCCCAGCGTGCTTTGCGGGGGGGAGAGGCCTAGGCCGGGAAAGGGGCCGGTCCTCTGCAAATAACAGCCGGGTGAAGCATGAAGCTGGTGAGTTGGGGAGGCTGGTGGGGAGGCGGGGGACCGGCATGAGGGGGACACACACGCGCCCTGCAGCCCTGCGAGGTAGACCTCGGCTCCCCTGAGGGTGGGGGGATTTAATCTGGAGGCTATTATTATTCATATATAGAAGAAAGAGCCTCATTTCTTCCTTGGAGGCCACCTGACAGGGATGCTATGGCTGAGAATCTTGCAGCTTTCCTATAAAGAAGGGGGAATCCCTGGATTTATGATTTATTATGAAATCACCATTTTAGTGTCTGTCGCATATTGTTCTTGTCATGTGTGAATACGGATGGTCATAAATTCAAACGCAAGTATTTCATGCAAAGCACGAGCAGCTTGTGGAACTCCCTGCTACAAGATGGCATTAAAGCAGAAATGCGGCCCCTCCTGATGTTGACTTCCCAACTCCCATCGTCCACAGCCAGTGCTGGCAATGGCCAGGGATTATGGGAATTGCAGTCTCCCAAAATCTGGAGATCCACATTTTCCCCATTCCCTGCTTTAAGGGAAGGTTAGGCAGATTTGTAAAGGACAACAGGACCAGTGGTACATCTGCAGAGGGGAAATCACAATACAGTGGTACCTCGGGTTACAGACGCTTCAGGTTACGGATGCTTCAGGTTACAGACTCCGCTAACCGAGAAATAGTACCTCGGGTTAAGAACTTTGCTTCAGGATGAGGACAGAAATCGCACAGCAGTGGTGTGGCAGCAGCGGGAGGCCCCATTAGCTAAAGTGGTGCTTCAGGTTAAGAACAGTTTCAGGTTAAGAACGGACCTCCGGAACGAATTAAGTACTTAACCTGAGGTACCACTGTATCTCAGTGGAACCTCCACATTGGGAGCAGTCTACCTCCGAGAATTGGGTGTTGGAGACAAGCAGTAGGAGAGCAGTTGGCCATCTGTCCTCCTTGAGGGCTTTCCAGAAGAGTCTGGCTGGCCGCTATTAGGAGAGGTTGCTAGGCTAGATGGACCCTGACTTAGTGATGTGAGGTGAGAATATTCTGCAGAGAATAGTCTCAAGAATGAGAATATTCTCTCTCTTTTTTTAAAAAAAAAGATATTTATTGAAGTTTCACATAAAAAGAGACATCTTAATAAGAGGGGAAAAAAATTAAAAATAAAAAGAGAAATACACCATACAAAATACAAAAGAAAAAGAAAGAAAAAACAGTTAAAAACAGTTCCATCTTTTCATCATAACTTTTACATTAACTTATTTCCCGGACCTCCTCATACCACCCTCTTTTGTATTCCAATTCAATTTGTTTGTCCAGCAATTCCTTTCCCTCCTTTTTAATCCCAATCCTTAATCTTAATATAATATAACATTAAATTTTAACCTATTAAAAGCCAATTTTCCATTTCTTTTAACTTTTTTAATCCTAATCCTTAATCTTGATCTATATATTAACTTTAAAGCCTGTACAGCTAGAAGCCACTTCATTTCAATCCAACATCACTCTAACATTCTTTAATTTTGCAATATTTCCGTAAGTAATCTTTGAATTTCTTCCAATCTTCTTCCACCGACTCTTCTCCCTGGTCACGGATTCTGCCAGTCATTTCCGCCAATTAAGAATGAGAATATTCTCGAGAATATTCTCTGCTAGAAAATTCTCCGGAGAATATTCTGCACAAACTGTAAATTCTAATGTAAGAACCAGTTTTACAAACCACATTTTAAAAATCTGGTAAATAATAAGTCAAGCTGTGATATTACCAGTGCAAGTAATGAATAATGATTTATTTACTTATTAATCCAGTTACCTTACTGGGCATTCTGTCATCCACCACTGGCAGTTCTGAAAAGTGAGCTACAGAAAAGTTATTATTTATTTTTTAGTTTTAAAAATGCTATTTATTTAATTTGATGAACATTTGAATTCATATGTATTTCAATTATATGTAATAGTCTTTTTTCTATTTTGGTGTGACCTTATTCTTAGCAGTTCTATACCCTTGGCCATACAGTGTAGTTTTGTTTTTTTTACAGAAAGTAGCTTTAATATGGTTAGTGGCAGACTTAGTGATTAACATGAGTCATTCATGTTGAAGTTTTGATTTCAAGTTTGGTGCAAAAAATCAAAGAATGTGAATTTACTTCATTGCCCCATTGAATAAAAGTATCTAAACAGTTTTTGGTTGCCATCTGAACAAGTTTACCCATGAATAAACATGTATATTAACTAATTATATCATTTTCAATGCGTTAAAATTATATCATTTTCAATGCATTAAAATGAATATTCTCCTATTTTAAATGAAAATTCTCTAATATTCTCATTAATCGAAAATATTCTCAGTAATATTCTCCAAAAGGTTATTCTCGAGAATTTAACATCACTACCCTGACTTTGATCCTGGAAGATGCATCTTTTTATTTAAGCCATTGCAGGAGACATTGGGGAAGAGAGCTATTTTAAAATCGCATGTACTTTCTCACTTTAAGTAAAGCTAATTTAATTCTCACATGTGAAAACACCTTGCCTCTCCACCAGAAACAAACCAGATGAACAGCCATTGCTTCCACAAGGAACCCGCGGTGTAATAATACATACTCATAGTCCAAAATCCAACAGAGAACTTCACATCTGAGGGTTCCTTACAGCATAGATTTAACGTTGAAAGACACCCCTGATCTTATATCATAGCATTTGTGCTGATTATTATTATGCTGGGATAGCTCAGTCAGTAGAGCATGAGTCTCATAAGGTTGGGGTTGTGGGTTCGAAAGATTCCTGCATTGCATTTCCAACCCCTACAATTCTGTGATACTATCATGATCATTAAAATGCTTTAAAATGTCTAGGGGCTTTGCAAAAAGTAAACTGCAGCACAAATCATTCCCCACGGGTTTACAATCTTAAACACACAGGAGGAGGAGGAGAGAGGGTTTTCTCCCCCGCCCCTTTCATAATATTTGAACCCCTCAAGTCTGGGGGGAACCCTGGGCAATTTAATTGCAAGAGAGTCAGGATAGCATCTGGAGGTTCCTCATCCCTGGTGTGAATTTTACTCTCTATTTAATGGCCGCAACAGATTTGCAAAGGAGTAAGCCCTATCAAGACGGGGGTGGTGCTGTGGGTTAAACCACAGAGCCTAGGGCTCGCCTATCGGAAGGTTGGCGGTTCGAATCCCCGCGACGGGGTGAGCTCCCGTTGCTCGGTCCCTGCTCCTGCCAACCTAGCAGTTTGAATGCACGTCAAAGTGCAAGTGGATAAATAGGTACCACTCCGGCAGGAAGGGAAACGGCGTTTCCGTGCACTGCTCTGGTTCTCCAGAAGCGGCTTAGTCATGCTGGCCACATGTACGCTGGCTCCCTCGGCCAATAAAGCCAGATGAGCGCCGCAACCCCAGAGTCGACCACGACTGGACCTAACGGTCAGGGGTCCCTTTACCTTTCATAGAATCATAGAATCATAGAGTTGGAAGAGACCACAAGGGCCATCGAGTCCAACCCCCTGCCAAGCAGGAAACACCATCAGGGCACTCCTGACATATGGTTGTCAAGCCTCTGCTTAAAGACCTCCAAAGAAGGAGACTCCACCACACTCCTTGGCAGCAAATTCCACTGGCGAACAGCTCTTACTGTCAGGAGGTTCTTCCTAATGTTTAGGTGGAATTTTCTTTCTTGTAGTTTGGATCCATTGCTCCGTGTCCGCTTCTCTGGAGCAGCAGAAAACAACCTTTCTCCCTCCTCTATGTGACATCCTTTTATATATTTGAACATGGCTATCATATCACCCCTTAACCTCCTCTTCTCCAGGCTAAACATGCCCAGCTCCCTTAGCCGTTCCTCATAAGGCATCGTTTCCAGGCCTTTGACCATTTTGGTTGCCCTCCTCTGGACACGTTCCAGTTTGTCAATGTCCTTCTTGAACTGTGGTGCCCAGAACTGGACACAGTACTCCAGAGGGCTGACCCGAGCAGAATACAGTGGCACTATTACTTCCCTTGATCTAGATGCTATACTCCTATTGATGCAGCCCAGAATTGCATTGGCTTTTTAGCTGCCGCGTCACACTGTTGGCTCATGTCAAGTTTGTGGTCAACCAAGACTCCTAGATCCTTTTCACATGTACTGCTCTCAAGCCAGGTGTCCCCATCTTGTATTGGTGCCTCTCCTTTTTTTGCCCAAGTGCAATACTTTACATTTCTCCCTGTTAAAATTCATCTTGTTTGTTTTGGCCCAGTTCTCTAATCTGTCAAGGTCGTTTTGAAGTGTGATCCTGTCCTCTGGGGTGTTAGCCACCCCTCCCAGTTTGGTGTCATCTGCAAATTTGATCAGGATGCCCTTGAGTCCATCATCCAAGTCGTTGATAAAGATGTTTTACCTTTACCTTTTAAACCGTATCAAACATGGTGAGGTTTATTTCAGAGTAAGCAGGCATAGGATGATGTGTGAATTGTGTGTAGTTTGTGTCATGTCCCTCTTTCCTATTATTTCTCTCTGTGTGTGATTATTGTGTATTTCTGCTATATGGTCGTTCATAAATGCCGTATGTAATTCTTGTTTTAAATCGAAAGTCCAAACCATAGAACTTGAGAAAATGAAACGATTTTTTTTTGTTTTAAAAAATGTGTGTTCTACCCAGTATAGAATGTTTGCTGCCTTATCCTGGAGTGATTTCACAAGCAAGTGGCTTAGGGCTTGTTGCCATCATTCTCTTTGCCTTGACTCCCACCGTGTTTGCATTTTGATTTTTCTCCCTCGCGCACAAATGCACCCATGTTTGCATATTCTGATTTCATACGTTTGGTATTATTTGAGTCTCAAAGAGCTCTCTGGTAACGTACTTAAGGGAATAAGCCAGCCTTCTTTGCTTTGGACTTGGCACGGTCAGCGATCGAGATCTCCTCCCATATTGAGAGTTCCCTCTTTTCCATCTTGGGCGATGGGTAATGCTTTTCCGCTTAGCGTCAACCTATGTTCCCATCAATACCTCTTAAGTGGTTGCATGAACCTGCCTCTTCTGCAAGGTTGTCCCCAGGCATCTGACTGCCCAAACACTTGGTCTTATTTCCTGCCCTCTTCTGCCAACCAAGACTTTTGGCGATAGACCCGAGAACGATATATCTTGCACTCCAGCTGTTTCTGCTAGTACGTAGTTTCTGGTGATCCTGCTCTTTGCAAAAGGGTTCTTTTTCTTTGCAAAGATCTAGTGGCTCAGTTTGTTCAGACCATGTTGTGAAATTGAGCTCTGCTCCTTCTGCTATTATTATTATTTATCATTTATACCTCGCTCATCCGGCTGGATTTTCCCAGCCACTCTGGGCAGCTCCCAACTGAATTACCGGTAAAAGCACAATTAGAAGTACTTTGCCCCTCTTTTTGGCACCCCTCTTAGATTTTCCAGGGACACGGATGGCGCTGTGGTCTAAACCACAGAGCCTAGGGCTTGCCGATCAGAAGGTCGGCGGTTCGAATCCCCGCAACGGGGTGAGCTCCTGTTACTCAGTCCCTGCTCCTGCCAACCTAGCAGTTCGAAAGCACGTCAAAGTGCAAGTAGGGAAGGTAAACAGCATTTCTGTGCTCTGCTTAGTCATGCTGGCCACATGACCTGGAAGCTGTACGCCGGCTCCCTCGGCCAATAAAGCGAGATGAGCGCCGCAACCCCAGAGTCGTCTGTGACTGGACCTAACGGTCAGGGTTCCCTTTAGATTTTCCAAGTCATGAGGCTGCCGTGATAGGAGAAGCCACAACTCTTAGGGTCTAGACAAGGGATGGGTGCTATGCCTCAGTCAGGGGTCTCCTCATCAGAGGAGGACCAGGAGCCCCTGACCTTACACCAATCTCTGGGTAATGTTGTATCTGGAGTGAGGTACCAGGATCCTTCAGTGAAGTTGAGTCCAGCATCTGACATTGAGGTCCTAAGCCCAAGCGAAAGGCAGTATCCTAAACACCAGATCAAATCCTTTCCCATCTGGAGAAGTGTCCCATCCAAACAGACAACATCCCCGTCCCTCACAAAATCTGGACTGAAAAGAGCTCCACCCACTAAGTTGCTGAACATTTTCAGCCATCACTGCAGCTTAGCCAATCAGTGATAGGCGCATCATTGCCACACATGTAATAGAATATAGACTAATAAATCTGAGCAGCATTTCTGTCGTGTGTGACTAGCCCTTTCTATTAATACTTTTCATGAGATGGAATTACTAGGAAGTTTCTAATAATAAATGTGAAAATGTTCCATTATTAAATCACTTCTGTCGCCATGGTTGATCAGACTAACATTTGTGATGCCCCCGCCTGGGCGGCTCGCAACAGAGTATTAAAAGCACAATAAAACGTCAGACATTAAAAACTTCCCTAAACAGGGTTGCCTTCAGGTGTTTCCTAAAAGTCAGATAGTTGTTTATTTCCTTGACATCTGATGGGAGGGCGTTTCACAGGGCGAGTGCCACCACCAAGAAGGCTCTCTGCCTGGTTCCCTGTAACCTCACTTTTCGTAGGGAGGGAACCGCCAAAAGGCCCACAGAGCTGGACCTCAGTGTCTGGGCAGAACGATGGGGGTGGAGACGCTCCTTCAGGTATACTGGGCCGAGGCCGTTTAGGGGTTTCAAGGTCAGCACCAACACTTTGAATTGTGCTCAGAAACGTAAAGAGTTAAAGGTAAAGGACCCCTGACAGGTCCAGTCGCGAACGACTCTGGTGTTGCGGCACTCATCTCGCTTTACTGGCCGAGGGAACTGATGTTTGTCCGCAGCCAGTTTTTCTGGGTCAAGTGGCCAGCATGACTAAGCCACTTCTGGCGAAACCAGAAATTTTGCTCAGTGAATAAGTAAATTTTGCTCAGTGAATAAGTGTCAAAGAGAATGGGGAGCAGGTCATGCTAACCTTGAACCATTATGAGATTATTTAAAATATGGCAAGGATTCTTGGGCAGCAGACTGGTTGGCAAAGCTTCTTCCTCCCTTCCAGGCCTGTGAATTCCTTTTGCTTTTATTGGTCATTTATTGGATCCCATCTCATTCCCTTAGTACTGCCTGTCCGGACACCCAACGCTACCATGCAACGTCCTCAAATTCAAATCGACCACCATTATGCTCGACTGTGGGCTGGATATGACCTCGACGCTCAACTTTCTGCCCCTGCCTTTGGTCCAGAGGTATGTCCCGAGGCTCCTTGCACACTTTCCGGTTCTGCTTTCCGCTTCGTAAGCTAGATTTTGGGGAGGGAGAAGTTTAGGGGGTGAGGGCATTCTTTCTGGGAGGAAAGCCCAGAGCTGACTTGCCTGGGAAAGGAGGCTTTTTTTTTCAAATGAGCACGCAGCATCGCCCGATAGCATAAATAGACTTAGTCCACTTAAAAATTCCCTTTATCAAAATAACGTCCTTTGGCTCAGTAGATGGAAAACGGTTTATGGATTTATCGATTCGGTTTTCCAGATAATTTATTCTAAGCTTCAGTAAAGTATTGCGGCAGCGGCTCAGCGCAAGTGAGGTCACAGATCTGTCATCTTTTCTGGCTTCTTCAGGCAAGGAGAGATAAATGGGAGGCAGGAGGAAAGTGCAAGCTTGCCAGGCGTATATCTCCCCCTCCCAGACACACACACACAGCAGCCCACCCCACAAATTAAAAAGTAGATATGTTACAGGATCTTCAACATAATCAGAAAAGGAAGTGGGTCTCCCAATGGGTCCCTCTTCCTATGCGCTGGGAAGTCCTTGCCACAGCTCAAACGAAGCAACTGAGATGGCTGTCACGGGACGGCAAGAGGGCAGAGGCGCTCCTGGCTTCGCATTTCTCTGCCTTATCTCTGCTCCCAGGTAGGAGCTAGTTTGCAAGGAGAGTCTCCCTTGATTAGACGCCGGCTGGCAAAGGGGCTGACTGCTGCCCAGTCTACCAGGGGGCGGGATGCAACACTTGCCCCGTCACGGGCAGCGGCAACCCATGTTACGCCTCCGGACTACATGGGCCGTTGGCCTGATCCAACAGAGCTCTTCTTATGTGCTAAGCATGTCCCTTCAGACCATGCATGCCCTGACCTTCGTACCGTACAAGCAGATTGCTCCCACGTGGAGAGCTGCCTGTACAGATTCCTAGCTTCCTTTTTGTGATCGTAAGTTGTTTTAAACTGTTTTTAACTGTAACCTATGGGGACGCAGGTGGCGCTGTGGATTAAACCACAGAGCCTAGGACTTGCCGATCAGAAGGTCGGCGGTTCGAATCCCCGCGACGGGGTGAGCTCTCCTTGCTCGGCCCCAGCTCCTGCCCACTTAGCAGTTCAAAAGCACGTCAAAGTGCAAGTAGATAATTAGGTACCGATGGTTTTTGTGTTGCTGGTTTTTGTGTTGAATATATCCTATACAGTTATTTATAAAGCCATTTGTACATATTACCATGCAACCAGTCCATCCAGAATGTAGGCACCCTATATACAGAAAGGAGCAAACCAGTGATATTTTAGAGAGCAGGCTAGCAGGCAGGGCCCATGACTTACATCAGGGGTCAGCAAACTTTTTCAGCAAGGGGCCGGTCCACTGTCCCTCAGAGCTTGTGGAAGGCCGGACTAATTTTGGGGGGCGGGCAGGAATGAATGAATTCCTATGCTCCACAAACAACCCAGAGATGCATTTTAAATAAAAGCACACATTCTACTCATGTAAAAACACGCTGATTCCTGGACCGTCTGCGGACCAGATTTAGAAGGCGATTGAGCCATATCTGGCCCCCCGGGCTGGTGGCGCTGTGGGTTAAACCACAGAGCCTAGGGCTTGCCGATCAGAAAGCCGGCGGTTCAAATCCCCGCGACAGGTTGAGCTCCTGTTGATCGGTCCCTGCTCCTGCCCAGCTAGCAGTTCAAAAGCACGTCAAAGTGCAAGTAGATAAATAGGTACCGCTCTGGCGTTTCCATGCGCTGCTCTGGTTCGCCAGAAGCTGCTTAGTCCTGCTAGCCACATGACCCGGAAGCTGTACGCCGGCTCCCTCGGCCAGTAAAATGAGATGAGCGCCGCAACCCCAGAGTCATCCGCGACTGGACCTAATGGTCAGGGGTCCCTTTACCTAACTGTAACCTGCCCTGAGACCTTAGGGTAAAGGGTGGGTGATTAATAATAACAGATAATAGTAATTAATACAAATAATAATTAATAGTAGTAGATGAGATTGCACCATCACCAGAACTAATTTTCCAAGGAACGTGGCTTTACTTTCGTAAGCAGCCTGTATGTGGTTCTGGGAAGCAGGTTGAACAATCAAAGCTTCTCCTGTAACAGAATCCGACTGCAGAGATGCTGAAATCCAGTCGCATGGAGGCCGTTAACCTTTCCTGTCTGGAGGAGCGTCACATTTGCTTGTTTTATTTATGTGTCGTGTCGAGCTATTTAGGATTAATCAATCACTTCATTACACTGTCAGGAGCCCGTCGGCGGGAGTTGCTTTATTTGGGAGGCTTCTGGGAAGAGAGCCTCAATATCGCGGGAGACGTTGATCGTCCCCCCTCCCCCTCCCCTCTTGCATATTGCATCATCGAAAGGGAACATCTTGTGCTTATCGGGGAGGAGCGTAAAGTTCCTGGGCAAGCTGCTCACCTCTTCATCGTCTCTCTTTAAAGAGTACAGTGAGGGGGGGGGAGTATTTGCCCGTTTGCCCCCTGACAAAGAAATGACCAGTCCATAATTTTAATGGTAGGTTTACTGTAGCTGTGAGAGACAGAATAATAACAGGAAAACAGGAGCTGAAGGTTCGAGTAGCTGCACATCAGCCTTGAAATCTTACTGACTTGGAGAGGATCTGCAAAGAGGAGTGGGACAAAACACCTCCTGAGATGTGTGCAAACCTGGTGGCCACCTACAAGAAACGTCTGACCTCTGTAATTACCAACAAGGGTTTTGCCACCAAGTACTAAGTCACCTTTTGCAAAGGGATCAAACACTTATTTCACTCATTATACTGCACATCAATCTCTGACTTTTGTCTTCTGGGTTTCTGGGGGTTTTCCTGTTGTTATTCTGTCTCTCACAGTTACAATAAACCTACCATTAAAATTATGGACTGGTCATTTCTTCGTTGGAGAGCAAACGGGCAAATTTAGCAGGGGATCAAATAACTTCCCCCCCCTCACTGTATGTGTTTATTCCAGGTATGAGGAAACCTGTGTCCCCCCCCCCCCCAGATGTTCCTGGTACCCCTTTTCTGCCACAAAGACTCGTGGTGTCCTGGCATGGTGGCTGTGATGGAGGAGGTAGTCTCAATGGTACAGAGCCTTGCTCTGCTCCTTCTCAACTCCTTGCATAGATCATAGAGTTAGAAGGGACCCTAGAGGTCATTTAGTACAACCCCTTTTGATGCAGGAATCTCAGCTATTTTTTTAAATAACTTTTTATTCAAGATTAAAACAAAACATATTATCCAGAAATATATCATCCTTATTCCCCCCCATTTTTCCTCCCTCCCCCTCCCTCCCCCCACAGAACCCACCCACCCCCACCCCCCGACTTCCCTCAGTTCCAGTCTTTGATTTCTCTAAAAATGCTGTTTTCTGCATGTTACACAGTTGTATAGATCCTCAAACTATTTAGCTGATTATTATCAATAAAAAGTTTGTGAATGTTTATTCAAAACCAGCCAGGGAGTCCAGTTCGCTTTGTTGCGTCTTCAAATATATTGTAAAGGTTTCCCATTCATCTTTAAAGTCACAGTTATCCTTGTCCCGTAGCTTGTATGTCCGTTTTGGCAGTTCTGAATAGTCCATCAATTTTTCTTGCCATGATTCTTTAGTTGGGGTTTCTTCAGTCTTCCATCCTTGTGCTATTAAAACTCTCGCGGCCGTTGTCGCATACATCTTCATGGATGCAGGAATCTCAGCTAAAGCATCCATGGCAGATGGCCACCCAACCTCTGCTTAAAAACCTCCACAGAAGGAGAGTCCACAAACTCCCAAGGGAGACGGTTCCACTGCCAAACAGCTCTTGCTGTCAGAAAGTTCTTCCTGATGTTTAGTTGGAATCTCCTTTCTCGCAACTTGAAACATGTCCAACTGCACTCAGTTTCCCTTTACCTCTGTATCACGAAACCCTGGAGGGCATGATCGCTTTCCTCCCAAGCTTCCCAGTAGGAACCTCTCTGAGATCTATGGATGAAAGGTGGAATACAAATTTAATAAATTATAGCTTCAGGTAGGTAGCCTTGTTGGTCTGACGCAGTCGAAATAAAAGTTAAAAAATTGTCCAGTAGCACCTTATAGACCAGGCTACCTCAACCTTGGCCCTCCAGATGTTTTGAGACTACAGTTCCCATCATCCCTGACCACTGGTCCTGCTAGCTAGGGATCATGGGAGTTGTAGGCCTCCAAAACATCTGGAGGGCTGAGGTTGAGGAAGCCTGTTATAGACCAACTAAGTTTGTTCTGGTGTTTCTGAAGAAGTGTGCATGCACACAAAGGTTTTACCAGAACAAACTTAGTTGGTCTATAAGGTGCTACTGGACATTTTTTTCTTTCCTTTTTATCAATAAATTATAATACTAATAGGAATGGAGCTGAAAGGTTAGACTACTGCAATGTGTTGCATGGAGGGGCTGCCCTTGAAAACTGTTTGGAAGCTGTTGGCTTCCCAGGATTTAAAATTTAATCCATTAATGGTAAGGCCCAGGAAGTATTAAAGCTCAGTCGTGGCTCTGCCTGGGGCTCAATATTTTCAATTTTTTAAATCATTTTTTATGATCTGGCTGGGTCTACTACGAGTTGCAGCCCGAAACATCTAGAGGGCACCACATTGGAGAAAGGTGACTTAATAATAATAATGATAATAATAATAATAAATTATTTATACCCCGCCCATCTGGCTGAGTTCCCCCAGCCACTCTGGGCGGCTCCCAATCAAGTGTTAAAAACAATACAGCGTTAAATATTAAAAACTTTCCTACACAGGGCTGCCTTCAGATGTCTTTTAAAGATAGGATAGCTGCTTATTTCCTTCACATCTGAAGGGAGGGTGTTCCACAGGGCAGGTGCCGCTACCGAGAAGGCCCTCTGCCTGGTTCCCTGCAACCTCACTTCTCGCAATGAGGGAACTGCCAGAAGGCCCTCGGCGCTGGATCTCAGTGTCTGGGCTGAATGATGGGGGTGGAGATGCTCCTTCAGGTATACTGGACCGAGGTCATTTAGGGCTTTAAAGGTCAGCACCAACACTTTGAATTGTGCTTGGAAACGTACTGGGAGCCAATGCAGATCTCTCAGGACCGGTGTTATGTGGTCCCGGCAGCCACTTCCAGTCACCAGTCTAGCTGCCGCATTCTGGATTAATTGCAGTTTCCGGGTCACCTTCAAAGGTAGCCCCACGTAGAGCGCATTGCAGTAGACTTAGCTGTGCTATGTTTGTGAAATGTACGTGGAGCATCAATAACTTAATTTATTATTATTATTACTATTATTATTTTAAATTTTTATACTGCCCTATACCTGGAGGTCATATTATGTTGTTTTCCGAAAATGGGTGCTGATTTTGTCATAAAACCCATTAACACAGCTTTTTTTTCTTTTCTTTTCCTGTAGTCCAAGGCTATCCAAGCTCCCTGGTTGGATCTTAAAAGATGGGAGCACTTTTCTAGACAAGGTAATGTACAACTGGGATTGGGTTTTTCAGCGAGCCTGGCTAATTAGCCAGCACCGTTGAGCTTGGACAAGCTCTGATTTAACTGGGGAGAAAAGCAAGAGCGTTGCCAAAAGCAATTGCATTTCCAGGCCCAATCTTTAAGTCCTGCTCTTAGCCCCGTCTTTTACAAAATTAATAATAAAATATTATTATTTACAAAAAAGAATTTTTTTTGCAAAAAGAATACAGTGGTACCTTGGTTCTCAAACTTAATCCGTTCCGGAAGTCCGTTCCAAAACCAAAGCGTTCCAAAACCAAGGCGCACTTTCCCATAGAAAGTAATGCAAAATGGATTAATCTGTTTCCAACTTTTAAAAACAACCCCTAAAACAGCAATTTAACATGAATTTTACTATCTAACGAGAACATTGATCCATAAAATGAAAGCAATACATTGTACTGCAGTCACACAATCAATCAGTAGCTGATCTGGGTTCCACACAGTCACAAAAACAAACAAAAAAAGAGCCGAAAAACAAAAATGCAAAATAAATAGTGAAAACAGACAGATCTCAGCATAACACTCAAAACAGAAGTGTGGCACTCAAATCGGAAGCGTAACACTCAAAACGGAGCACGTTTGGCTTCCAAAAAAAGTTCGCAAACCAGAACACTTACTTCCAGGTTTGCAGTGTTTGGGTTCCAAGTTGTTTGCGTACCAAGACGTTTGAGAACCAAGGTGTCACTGTACCTTGAAATGTCTCCCCGCCCCTTGTGCTTTTCCCCTGGACTCTGTTGGAGACTTTGGAGGGAATTCTTAAGAAACTAAGAAGTGTCTGCAGGGTCAGGCCCATCTAGTCCAGCATCCTGTTGTCACAGGGAATGCACAAGTCGTGGCGTATGTTGAATCCCTGAACATTGCAAGAAGCCCCGTCAGCCGCATGGGTACGATGAGTTCCACAATCGCATCGGAAGCCTCTCGGAGGTGCTGCCTGTAGTGTGCACCTTTAATTATGAATCCTTCTGCGCTTCTTATATTGACCGTTGCGCTTGCTTAGAATGACAAATGAATTGACCAGTTCTCCGCACAGCCGGGGTCAAAGGTGGGTGCATTGTCATGTAAGGAGGAAGGCCCTTGTTTTTAAGACTGGAGGAGGCATTGAAATTCACCCAGTCTACCCATAATTCACCTTTTAACATAACTGGATGAGGTTAAGCGCCTCCTGCCATTTGAAGTAATTGCTCGTTTGTTAGAACTTGCCAAAAATTGCTAGAATTTCTTAAGAGCTGAAGCCAGGGGGATACACTGTAGAGGGAGGAGAAGGTAATGTACTGTTCGGTAAACATGCAACCTTTAACTTTGGGGGGAGCTCCCCCCCCAAAAAAAAACCGTTTTCCCCATGTAGAGAACTGTACAGCAGCATAGTGCAAGCATCAATTGATTGCTGAGAGACATCGCTGCTTTTGTTGTCTAAGCAGCCATTGCTCCCATCTCATCTCAGACCTATTTGCATGCGCAGCAACCAACTTGTCGGACGGAGCAAAGGGAGAAAGACTAATTTAACAGGCCTGGGAGAATATTAATGTGGATGTCTGGAGGAACTCGCAGGGCGGTTTCCATCTCCAGACCCGACGGAGTGAAAGTACAGAATGTGGGGAAGGAAGGAAGTGCCAAGGGAAAGAGAGGTTTGGTGGAGATTTCCGGGAGAGAACGGGGCCGGCCCTGATTTTCGGCAGACCCTGAGCAAGATCTGCAGCAGATGTCCGATCCTGCCTGCCGCCTATGCCAGGCCTGAGGAGCATGTCAGGATTGGCAGGTGCCCGTCCATTCAGCTACAGCCCTTTGCGATGGCCGCATGTTCGCATGCAGCTTGCGAGCTGTTTGGCCATCGCGGCCTGTAAGCGCCGGAAGTTGAAGCCCAGAGTGTGGTCCTCTGCCCTCACTGTCACCTAGCCTCGGATTTCTTCCTTTTCAGCTGAGGGTCTTCTGTCTTGAGAGCCAGTGTGGTGTAGTGGTTAAGAGCGGTAGTCTCGTAATCTGGGGAACCGGGTTCGCGTCCCCGCTCCTCCACATGCAGCTGCTGGGTGACCTTGGGCCAGTCACACTTCTTTGAAGTCTCTCAGCCCCACTCACCTCACAGAGTGTTTGTTGTGGGGGAGGAAGGGAAAGGAGAATGTTAGCCGCTTTGAGACTCCTTAAAGGGAGTGAAAGGCGGGATATCAAATCCAAACTCTTCTTCTTCTTCTTCTTCTTCTCCTCCCCTCCCATTTCCCAGGAGCTGAAAGACTGTGCTGGCCGGGCGTTTGTGGATTCCGTTCCAGAGTTCTGCTTGCCAGAGGTGAGTCTTCGCAGGATCCTGGGTGCCAAACCGTGACCACCCCACTTTTGGTCCCCAGCTGGAACCATCAAGGGGTTCTCGAACTCGCTGCTTCCCTCCATTGATTTCAAAGAGGCTTGCAGCAGTCGGAGGAGCCATCCTCCTCGCTTTGGAGAAAACACACGTTTCACGGGAGGCACTTTTTGAAATAATGCCCAATGGATGTTCCGATCCATTTCTCAAGCCACTTACGGCTCCTGTTGCAATTTAAGGGAAAGCGGAACTGCAAACGATGGCTGTTTTTTGAACATTTATTTCGCTGCGTGCCCCTTAAGGGAGAAACAGCAGCTTACTGAGTGTGCAAAATAATAACACTCAGCACTTTATATAGTGCTTTCCAGAAAGGAGCATTACATATATTATCTCGGGGATTGTCACAAACAACCCTGTAAGGTGGGCTAAAGTTGTTTTATTTTGTCTGTGCCGCTGATTTGCCTGGGGCTGAAAGAGAGAAGGGCTTTCCCAAAACCTGCTGGTGTTCCAGCTCCTCACCTGGCCAATATACCGTATTTTTCGCTCCATAGGTTGCACCGGACCATAGGGCGCACCTAGTTTTTAGGGGGGGGGAAAAGAAAAAAAAAATATTCCTCCCCCAGCCCCAAAGAGCAAAGAAGCCAAGATAGCAAGCGAGATCCATCCCGCTGGCTGTCTTGGCTTCCTCTTTAGCCGCGCACAACCTGTCCAGCTGGGAGAAGATGCACGCGGCTTTGGCAGAAGCCAAGACAACGAGCGGGATGGATCCCGCTCACTGTCTTGGCTTCGTTTTTAGCCGCGGAACTCCTGCCGCTATCAGAAGGCTTGCAGATGGCTGCCTGAAGCCCGGTGAGCGCAGCAGGAGTTGGCGCTGTGCTATCCGCAAGCCTTTGGAGCCCGGCGGGAACTCCCTCCCCTCTCGTTCTCCAGGCTTCAGCGAAAGCCTGCATTCGCCCCATAGGACGCACACACATTTCCCCTTCATTTTTGGAGGGGGAAAAGTGCGTCCTATAGAGTGAAAAATGCGGTACAGTGGTGCCTCGCAAGACGAAATTAATCCGTTCCGCGAGTGTCTTCGTCTAGCGGTTTTTTCGTCTTGCGAAGCAACCCTATTAGCGGCTTAACGGCTTAGCGCTATTAGCGGTTTAGCGGCTATTAAAGGCTTAGCGGATTAGCTGCTAAAAGGCTATTAAAGGCTTAGCGGCTTAGATAAAGGGGGGGGAAAGCGGGGAAAAAAATCTCAAGACTCGCAAGACATTTTCGTCTTGCAAAGCAAGCCCATAGGGAAATTCGTCCTGCGAAGCAACTCAAAAACGGAAAACCCTTTTGTCTAGCGGGTTTTCCGTCTTGCGAGGCGTTCGTCTTGCGGGGCACCACTGTATATATAATTTGGACACTTGAATGCACCTCATTCCTCAGAAGGAAATCATTTTGGACCTTTTTTTGTATCGGCCAAGCCTTCTCAACAGGGAGGTTTGGGATTCAGACACCCTCCGTTTCCATGAACTGATAGCCGCCTGTGTGGGTCGGTGGGGGTGGGGGGGTCTCTCTTCCGGTCTCCCCGTCCTTATTTTCTTTGCTTGGGCAGTGTAATCTACTATTTGCCTCATTTATCTGTCTCAGAAATTCCAGCAGCTGGTTGAGCATGAGGCTCTTAATCTCACGGCTGCGGGTTCAAATCCCACTTTGGGCAAAAGGTTCCTGCATTGCAGGGGATTAGACTACAGTGGTACCTCAGGTTAAGTACTTAAATGGATCCGGAAGTCTGTTCTTAACCTGAAGCGGACTTTCCCATTGAAAGTAATGGAAAGTGGATTGATCCGTTCCAGCCGATGAAAAACACCCTCTAAAACAGCAATTTAACATGAATTTTACTGTTTCACGAGACCGTTGATCCATAAAATGAAGGCAATAACCAATGTACTGTGCTATAAAATAAATTAGACAGTATTTTAGATGAAAAGAAATAACATTTATTTCTTTTCTTATGTGCACTCACTGTTTGGAGGGGACTCAGGGTCCTCTTCCACAATCGCAATAGGCTTGGCTCCTGGCATTCGTGGAGGCCTCAGAGAGCTCCTGCAGCTGGAGCCCAGTCGCGGAGCCTCTGCAGGCCCCGTGGACATTGGGGCTTGGCTCCTGGCATTAGCGGAGCTGCTCTAGGCACCGCGGATGTCGGGGCTTGGTTCCCTGCATTCACGGAGCCCTCAAGACAGCTCCGTAGGCACCGCTGATGTCTGGGTTTGCCTCCAGGCAGCAGCGAGACCTCCGAGAGCTTGGACAACTTACTTCCGGGTTACAATCGTTCGTAACCCGAAAAAACGTAAGTTGAAGCATTCGTAACCCGAGGTACCACTGTACAGATTCTTACCCATCCAGGGGGCAGCACTGCCTGCTGTCTTCCTCCCTCTCAGTCTCAGTGTTGCCCTTGCAGGACTCAGCAGGGGCGGGGAAGATGGAGGCAAACCCAGAATCAGCTGTCTCTGCTGCCTCCCAGTGTCTCTAGCGCCACCTACTGTTAGCCTCCTTGCATTCTGCCCTACCAGTCCCACTGGGCACCAGCCACCCCCGAGAACATCTTGCTTGACATGCAGAAGTCCCCAGATTTCAATCCACAACACCAGCGCTTTAAGATCAAGCAACAGATGCGTCAGGGGGAGAGACGTTTCTCTCCTTGAGACGCAGAGAAGCAGACTTTCCCGAGCAAACGGGACCAAAGGTTTCCTGAGAACGTAAGGAGAGCCTGCAGGATCAGGCCAGTGGCCCACCTAGACCAGCATTCTGTTCTCACAGTGGGCAGCGAAATCAGGGCGGATTTAGGTTTGATGAGGCCCTAAGCTCCTGAAGGTAATGGGGCCCTTTATATCTCCAGTTGTCCTTTGCCAACAACAAATTGTCACTGTTTTGTTTGTGTTGAATATGTGCTATATGGCAATTTATGGACCAAATGGGTATCTAAAGCCATTTGCACATAACAAATAGGAGCCTACACAACACAAAACACTGTTGCTGTATGTAGGTTTTTTTTCATTTGTTTTTCATCTTATATTTTGGAAATGCATTTCCAGTTTTATCCCCTTTAAATTTTGTGGGGGCCCCCAAGAGAGTGGGGCCCTAAGCTATAGCTGGTTTAGTTTATACGTAAATCAGGTACTAAACGAGATGCCCCTATTGGGAGCCCACATAGCAGCTCTCTCCCTGTCTCCGACGGGAGAGGGAAAACTCATCCATCAGGCTTAGCAGCCGCGGAGGGCCTTATCCTCTGTGAATCTGCCTAATCCTCTTTTCAAGCCCACCTCTGTTGGTGGCCTGGCCTCCCTGACTCTGAATTGTACAGCTGGAAGAGACCCAAAGGCTCATCTTGTCAGCCCCGCGATCTCAGAGGTAGTTCTCCTGCATGCAGAAAGTCCCTGAATTCCTCTCCAGCCAAAATGAACTTCCTGGCAGGACAGGGGAAGGACAGAGAGCCCAGGGAATGCAAGTGGGATGCTGCAACAAAATGTTGCCGTTTGGAGTGGACCTGTTCGCTCTTCCAGTCAATGAGCCATGCCCTGCCCTCCTCTGTGGTGCGTTGTGCAGGAGCTTGAGGCTGCCAGGGGGAGCCAGGCAATGTCCCACCCAGCAAGACCCAGGGTGCTTTTAAGGTCCTGGGAGAGCTCCCAGTGTCTTGCTGTAGGCCCCACAAATAACCCAGAGATGCATTTTAAATAAAAGGACACATTCTACTCATGTAAAAACACCAGGCAGGCCCCACAAATAACCCAGAGATGCATTTAAAATAAAAGCACACATTCTACTCATGTAAAAACGCTGATTCCCGGACCGTCTGCAGGCCGGATTTAGAAGACGATTGGGCTGGATCCGGCCCCCGGGCCTTAGTTTGCCTACCCATGGACTAGATGAACCATCACAGCTCTGCAATTCTCTGATTCCATTGCCCAGTCTCTGGGTTGTGGGTTTCGACAGATGCTCTTATTTCATTCCACCTCCCACCCAGTTTTCCATTTTCTTTGTGGACTGAATGCCTCTCCCCCCACCCCAACCTCCCCTAAAAAAGCAAAAGAACCATCAGGTCTTAAGTTAGCCACCATGGCACTTTTTGAGCCGCTGTTTTTTGAGCAGCCACGTTGACCAATTTCTCGGCTGTTACCTTCGAATCGATGGGAAGATAATTTTTCCACTTGACGAGTATTGAATCCCATTAGCTGCTCCATAATAACTGAGTTAGAGGTTTAAGTTTCTGGTAAGTTTTCCAGACCAACATAATCGGGGGTTATAGCCTTACCAGTAAATATTTCCAATTACAGTTCCTGTTACGGAGATGCAAAAAATCATTTTGTCTCCTCCTCCGACCTTGGCTGACCCTACCTACCTATTCCTCTGCCTGGAGAACAGTCTGGAGAGGACAGGTTTAGTTCCAGCCCCAAAAGTGACAATTATAACCAGGCTGTTACAAGTCAAATTTATATTTGAGATTCTAGGCCATCCTTGAGGCCTCAGGCCTTGCCTTCCAGCTTCTTCCCACCTCCCCTTCTAAAAGTTGCCTCCTCTCAGCTTTTCATCTCAGAAATCTTGGCCCCTTGGATAGAATCACAGAATCGTCGAGTTGGAAGGGTCACCTAGCCCAACCCCTTGAAATGCAGGAATATTTTGCCCAACATGGGACTCGAACCCACAACCCGGAGAGTAAGGGTCTCACGATCTACTTGCGACGGGCCCCTGGGTGGACCCCAGAGTCAAACAGGCCCAAGAAGGAGGGAAACCACTCAATAGGGCCAAAGGAGCGGAAACGAGAGTGAGACATAGCCTGAGGAAATCTGGAGAAAAGGGAAAAGTCATGTCAGAAGCAGAGCATTGCTGGGCCCTCACTATACCCTGAGCAATGTGGTGGTCAGAGTACTGGACTAAGACCTGGGAGACCAGGGTTCGAATCCTAACACCGGGAAATCCAATGATGCTGAATGTTGGAAGGTTTAGGACAGGTAGAAGGAAGCATTTCTTCACGCAGTGCCATAGTTAAACTGTGGAACTCCTTGCCACAAGAGGCAGTAATGGCCACCAGCTTGGATGGCTTTAAAAGAGGATTGGACCAATTCATGGAGGAGGAGAGGGCTATCGATGGCCACCAGCCTGGATGGCAGGCTGTTGGAGGCAGCAGCGCTTCTGGGTACCAGTTGCTGCAAACCATAGGAGGGCGAGAGTTGCTCTTGGGTTCGAATCCTCCTTGCAGGTTTCCCACAGGCAACCCGGTTGGCCACAGCGGGAGCAGGTTGCTGGGCTCAATAGCCTCCTCTTCCATTCTGAGGGAGGGAGAAGACTTTTTTAGGAGGCTGCGTTTCCCAACAGTGCCTTACTGTGGCGATCACACAGGGTCCCTGGACGTTTAACGGTCTATTGATCCCTGCGCCACCACTGTGCTCGCTTCCCCGCTGCCACCAACCCGTTAAAAGGTAAAGGACCCCTGACCATTAGGCCCAGTCGTGACCGACTCTGGGGTTGCGGCGCTCATCTCGCTTTACTGGCCGAGGGAGCCGACGTACAGCTTCCGGGTCATGTGGCCAGCATGACTAAGCCGCTTCTGGCGAACCAGAGCAGCGCACGGAAACGCCGTTGACCTTCCCGTCGCAGTGGTACCTATTTATCTACTTGCACTTTGATGTGCTTTCAAACTGCTAGGTGGGCAGGAGCAGGGACCGAGCAACGGGAGCTCACGCCGTCGCAGGATTCGAACCGCCGACCTTCTGATCATTAAGTCCTAGGCTCTGTGGTTTAACCCACAGCGCATCCCTAACTCTTGGGTAAAACACTGAGTCCAGACAGTTGTTAAAAGTGAACACACACAAAAACAAGTTTATTTTACAAACATTAACAAGTTTATGGTTTCTCAGATAATATTCCTGTCGGTATCTTAACTTTAGTTTCTTTACTGGCCTATACCTTCTGACTGATTATCTCAACTGTTTGACTGACTCCTCTTAACCAATTCTCTCCCTCTCTCACACCAGACTAGCCCAATCCACAGACTTCTCTTCTCTGTCTCGTCTAACTCCAGACTGTCTTCTCAACCACCCGAACTCTATCTCTCCCAAAAACCTCCGTGCTTAAACCTTATACACAGTTAATTCTGCCCCTTGGGCTCCCATTGATTAGTCATTTTACAATTAGTTAACCCTTTCCTTATGAACCCAGTATAATGTCACACACCTAGGAGACCACACTTAAGCTCTCTGTTTTCAGATGGAGCTGATTGACCTGTCGACGGTGGATGTCATCCTGATCTCAAACTACCACTGCATGATGGCCTTGCCCTACATTACGGAGCACACTGGGTTCACCGGAACTGTCTACGCCACTGAGCCGACGGTTCAAATTGGCAGGTGAGGGGGGGGAAGCCTCATTTTATCTCCTCGCCTTCGGGGAAGGATGTAGAGGACGACACAGGGAAGAGGAGCCTTGCCTCTCTAATGTTCTTGAGAGGCTTTTAAGATGCAGCTGAGAGCGAGCCAAGGAAGTTCTTCTTCGCGGATTTAAGTGTGTGCACTGCATGCCTGACTTCTTCCCGAATGTCGTGAGTCAGTTTGGGCTCCTCTGTTTGGCAGGCCTGGGCAGAGCGATTAAATGGTGCTAGACGGTGTTGCGCTCACAGAAAACCTCTGCCGCTGCTTCCGTGGTGGGCAGCACAGTGTGGTGTAGTGGTTAAGAGTGGTAGTCTCGTAATCTGGTGAACCAGGTTCGCTTCCCTGCTCCTCCACATGCAGCTGCTGGGTGACCTTGGGCCAGTCACACTTCTTTGAAGTCTCTCAGCCCCACTCACCTCACAGAGTGTTTGTTGTGGGGGAGGAAGGGAAAGGAGATTGTTAGCCGCTTTGAGACTCCTTCAGGTAGTGATAAAGCGGGATATCAAATCCAAACTCTTCTACTCTTCGTCACATGCCAGGGACACACTCCTTTATTTTGCAAGTTGCTAAATGCAGAATCACAGGATAGTAGAATTGGAAGGAACCCTGGGTGTGCTGGGCGCGGGGGTAACGCGAGCAACGTGGTCCAGGTCCAGTCCCGAATCCAAGGGTTCTGGGAGGAGTCAGTCTGACAGGGCCAAGGCAGGACACGAGGCAAGAAACCAGGCAAGGTCAGGCACAGGATCACAGGCAGGTTCTGACAAACTGCAGTGTTGCTCCCACAACCTGGGACGGGGTCCAGCAGCCTTTTATCTTTGTCGGGGTAACGGCCAGTCCTGATCCCCCGGTGACTCACCTCCCTGTCTCACCCGAAGGCGAGCACTCCTCCTACAAGTACTCAGGTCTCTCCTTCTCTCAGACCTCAGTCTCTGCAGTTCAGGAGACGTCGGTGGGTGACTAGACCCAGAGGCCGCCTCAGCTTCCCCTGACCCAACCGGTAGTGGAGCAGCTGTAAGTGATGGCCCAGCTGGAGGCAACGAGGGAATCCCCACATCTGGAGCCAGGGCAAGCTCGGGCCCCTGACTCGTCTCCACCCCCATCGTTCTGCCCAGACACTGAGGTCCAGCACCAAGGGCCTTCTGGCGGTTCCCTCACTGTGAGAAGCCAAGCTACAGGGAACCAGGCAGAGGGCCTTCTCGGTGGTGGCGCCCGCCCTGTGGAACGCCCTCCCACCAGACGTCAAAGAGAAAAATAACTACCAAACTTTTAGAAGACATCTGAAGGCAGCCCTGTTTAGGGAAGCTTTTAATGTTTAATAGGTTATTGTATTTTAGTGTTTTGTTGGAAGCCGCCCAGGGTGGCTGGGGAGACCCAGGCAGATGGGTGGGGTATGAATAATAAATTATTGTTATTATTTACATATAAATACACACGGAGCACTGCAGCACGGCTCCCTCTCTCTCTAGCATCAGACCAGAGCAGGAATTCTAACAGTTGCTCCTCTCTGCAGGCTTCTGATGGAGGAGCTGGTCAACTTCATTGAGCGGGTGCCCAAGGCTCAGTCTGCCTCCATGTGGAAGAATAAGGAAGTGCAAAGGTAAGGATGGACACGCCCCCTCCGCAGGGCACCTCCCTTGGGAACGGGGTGTGTGTGTCTGGGGGGGCATTCCCCCTACGGTTTGGTTTCTCGCCCTGCTGCTCAGCTGCCCGATCCTCAGAGCTGCTTGCGTCCGTCAGAACAGCATTTTCCAAACATTTTGGGGGCCATTTGCCCCATTGGTTCCATAATCTCATCCCCAGTGCCCCTCTAAAGGTAAAGGGACCCCTGACCGTTAGGTCCAGTCATGGCCGACTCTGGGGTTGCGGCGCTCATCTCGCTTTATTGGCCGAGGGAGCCGGCGTACAACTTCCGGGTCATGAGGCCAGCATGACTAAGCCGCTTCTGGCGAACCAGAGCAGCGTACGGAAACGCCGTTTACCTTCCCGCCAGAGTGGTACCTATTTATCTACTTGCACTTTGACGTGCTTTCGAACTGCTAGGTGGGCAGGAGCAGGGACCGAGCAACGGGAGCTCACCCCGTCGCAGGGATTCGAACCGCCGACCTTCTGATCGGCTACCCTATAAAAAGCATTATTATTAGTAGTACGAATAATTATTTTACTTTTTATACCGCTCTTCATCCGTAGATCTTGGGGCTGTTCACGGCATAAAAAACACAGTGGTTTGCACGGTCCACTAAGGAAGATAATAGCACAATAAAATTTGAAACAGGGAGGATTCATTGCACGTTTATTCAAAATCCAATTGGAACCATTCAGTTTAATTAACTAATTCAGCAGAATTGATGGACTCAGCCCAATGATGCCAGCTTTCCAAAGTTTGGAAGTCAGTTACACCCTCCTGCTGCCCCCTTGCCTCTTAGGATGCCCTCCCCCAGGTAATCCCCCCCTCTAGGCGGGGGAGGGGGAGAACCACCAACTTTGGGAACCACTGACTTAGAACAACAAAATCAACAATACCTCAGGGACCACCTCTCTCCATATGAACCTACCCAGACCCTGCAATCATCCCCTAAGGTCCTTCTTCGTTTGCCTGCTCCATGTGAGGCCCAGAGGGTGGCAACACGAGAACGGGGCCTTTTCTGCAGTGGCTCCCCATCTGTGGGGTGCTCGCCCAAGGGGGGCTCGCCTGGCACCTTCATTATACACCTTTAGGTGCCAGGTGAAGCTGTTCTTCTTCAACCAGGTTGACATTTTACTGTGTTTTTAAACATTTTGTTGGGAGCCGCCCAAAGTGTCTGGGGCAACTCAGTCGTATGGACAGCACATAAATAGCAAAATTATTATTAATAATAATATTTGGCTGATTGACAGCCGATGCCCTCTTAAATGTGCTGCGGAAGCGGGTGGGGATTGCTGGGTTGCCTTTGTTGTTATTTTTATTACGTATTTTGTGTGTGTGTGTTTATATCATTTTCTGTTGTGAACCGTCCAGAGATCTACGGCTATAGGGCGGCATGCGGATTAAATATACAGTCATACCTTATGTTACGTCTGCTTCATGTTACGTTTTTTCAGGTTATAATAATAATAATAATTTATTATTTGTACCCCGCCCATCTGGCTGGGTTTCCCCAGCCCCTCTGGGCGGCTTCCATAGAAACCAAAAATACACTAAAATATCACACATTAAAAACTTCCCTGAACAGGGTTGCGTCCTGCGGCAACCCGGAAGTACCGGAAAGGGTTACTTCCGGGTTTTGCTGCTCGCGCATGTGCAGTAGCGCTAAATTGCGCTTCGCGCATGCGCACAAGCACCAAATCATGCTGCGCACCTGCACAGATATGGCGCTTCAGGTTGCAGGCTTTTCACGTTGCGAACGGGCCTCCGGAACGAATACCGTTTGCAACCAGAGGTACCACTGTATATTAAAAATAATAATAATACAATAATGGAAAAAATATCACAGCAAAACAGCAGAGTGGACCCAAGCTTTTGAATACTGATGAACAGATAGCTCTTAGAGGCCTGGGAGGACCTGAGCACAATGGGATTCTCCCCAGTGCATGGCGCATGGCACCAGTGCCTTTGAAACAGAGCATGGCCAGCGAATCTGTGAATCCATGAAGATTTTGAGTATCTGCGCTTGGCGCTGTCAGGTCGGGTCCTCGATGTCAGCCCCGAGTCTGGCTGGCTGGGCCCAAATCGGTGCCTCTTTCCTAGGGTTGGTGAGATAGCGGCTTTTGAAAACAGGGGACACCCCCAAGTGAGCGCAATGTTAAGCCGATCTCCTTTTATTTTGAGTCACCCGTGAGCCTCGTTCAGCTTGTCGGTGGTGCCTCTTCCCCTCTTTTCACAGCAGCCTGGAGCGTTCCCTGTGTTTACATCACTTTGCAGCTCAGAAACTTCCAGCCCCGATTGGGTTGTGTGCAACTGAGCCGCTCCCTTTATTGTAGGAAACGCTGGCGCCTTTTAAACGGAAAGCTCTGCAAGGAATATACTTAGTGCATCAGGGCAGCTGATGGTTTTTACCCCATTACCGTCTGCAACCTAATGGCTGGCAACTCTGAACCGCACTGAGTTGTGGCACTGGGGTGGCTAACATCGTATTTCCCCTTTCATTCCTCCACCTCAAACAGTGGCACCTTCTGGATGAGTGCCATGGAATTGGGGTGCTTCTGCGGGGAGGACGACAGAGGGGGTGCCCTCCCTTTATCAATGTTTCTAAGCATGGTTTTATGCAGGGGTCAGCAAACTTTTTCAGCAGGGGGCCGGTCCACTGTCCCTCAGACCATGTGGGGGGCTGGACTATATTTTGGAAAAAAAATAATGAACGAATTCCAATGCCCCACAAATAACCCAGAGATGCATTTTAAATAAAAGCACACATTCTACTCATGTAAAAACACCAGGCAGGCCCCACAAATAACCCAGAGACGCATTTTAAATAAAAGCACATAATTCTACTCATGTAAAAACACGCTGATTCCCAGACCGTTCGCGGGCCAGATTTAGAAGGCGATTGGGCCAGATCCGGCCCCCGGGTCTTAGTTTGACTACCCATGGTTTTATGGAGATCTCTCTTATTTTAATGAAAGTGTGTCTTAGAAATTTGCAATAACTTGGAGAAAACAGGCTGGCTGTTGGGTTTCCTATGGCATTCCATCCAAAGAGGACACGTTATTTTATTATTTTTACATTCATATTCCACCTTGTCCTCCAAGGAGCTCAGTATGATTCTCCCCCTCCCTCATTTAATCTCCCACAACAACCCTGTGAGGTAGGTTAGGCTGAGAGGCAGTGGCCCAAGGTCACCCAGTGAACTTCGGGCTGAGCGAGGATTTGAACCCAGGTCTCTCCCAGGTCCAATTTGACACTCTACCCCCCTCCCACTGGCTCTCTTCTGTTGGCATCTGTAGAAATTACATGTTTTCTGCGCTAGGTGAACATGGAGACATTGGCAGGAGCAATCCTCAACACTTCCTTCAGTCTCCTAAAAATTATGGAGGAGGAGGTCAGTGGCCCAACTGATTCCCCAGTAAATCAGCTCCTTTCAAACAAATGGATCGACAGAAGTTGACCGGTTTTCACAAATCATTGGAAATGGGTTGGAATGAGCTTTTGATTTAGCATCTGTTTAATATACAAAGTAAGAACCCAATTCTTCTTCCCCTCGCTGGCAGCTCTCACTGCCTTCCTGCCTGGGCTCCTCGTACTGTAAGAGATTTATGGCAAAAGAGACGGCCATCCTTTTTATGTGCCTTGACGCTGCCATTCTCGGATGTCGTTCTCCAGCTTCCTTTGCGGAGAAAGGGGGGAAGTCTGCAACAATGGCGGCTTTTCCAAGGAATAAAAGGTTTTAATACTTGTGTCAAAGTTTCTGTTTGAAAAAACAGTTTCCTCCCCTTCCTTTCGCCTTCTGAGTAATTACTCGCACAGCCCACAATCTGCTTGTTTTCTGAATCTTCCAGCACATTTCTGGCATTGGCAGTGGATATGCATATTGCAAATTGCTTTCTCTTCATTAAACTACGGAACTCCCTCCTGCAGGAAGGAGTTGTGATTTCTAAAACTCAGCATGAGTTTCCCAAAAATAAGGCACGCCAGACCAATCTGATTTCTTTCTTTCTTTCTTTCTTTCTTTCTTTCTTTCTTTTGATGGAATTACAAACTTGGTGGATCAGGGGAATGCTGTGGACATAGTGTATCTTGATTTCAGTAAGGCTTTTGACAAAGTCCCCCTTGATATTCTCACGAGGAAGCTGGTAAAATGTGGGTTGAACGAGGTGACTGTTAGGTGGATTTGTGGTTGACTGACAGAATTCAAAGAGTACTCATTAATGGTTCCTCGTAACAAGCTGGGTGCCACAGGGTTCTGTCCTGGGTCCATTGTTGTTCAACGTCTTTATAAATGACTTGAATGAAGGAATTGAGAGGATACTCATCCGATTTGCAGATGACACCAAACTGGGAGGGGTAGCTAATGCCGCAGAAGGCAGAATCAGAATCCAAAATGACCTTAACGACTTGGAGAACTGGGCACAAGCAAAGAAAATGAATTTCAAGAGGGACAAACGTCAGGCTCTGTACTTAGCTGAACAAAATAACACAACACGATGGCCAATAACAATGGCACTAAACACTATTCACAGTGGTACCTCAGGTTACAGACGCTTCAGGTTACAGACTCCGCTAACCCAGAAATAGTACCTCGGGTTAAGAACTTTGCTTCAGGATGAGAACAGAAATCGTGCTCCAGCGGTAGCGGGAGGCCCCATTCGCCAAAGTGGTGCTTCAGGTTAAGAACAGTTTCAGGATAAGAACGGACCTCTGGAATGAATTAAGTTCTTAATCCGTGGTACCACTGTGTAAAGGGTAAAGGGGACACTCATCTCGCTTTATTGGCCGAGGGAGCCGTGCTTCCGGGTCATGTGGCCAGCATGACTAAGCCGCTTCTGACTAACCAGAGCAGCGCACGGAAACGCCATTTACCTTCCCGCCGGAGCGGTACCTATTGATCTACTTGCACTTTGATGTGCTTTCGAACTGCTAGGTTGGCAGGAGCAGGGACCGAGCAACGGGAGCTCACCCTGTCGCGGGGATTCGAACCGCCGACCTTCTGATCAGCAAGTCCTAGGCTCTGTGATTTAACCCACAGCGCCACCCGCGTCCCTTGTACTACTGTATAGACTAATACAAATGATCAGAAATTGCAACCAAAGTCTCTAAATCTTCACCAGTCACGGTAGAATAATTCAAAAGTTCGATATATACATAGTCTGTCACCAAATGTCGCCGGAACAGAGTTAGGCTCTGCACTTAGGCAGGAAGAACCAGATGCACAAGTATAGGATGGGGAACACCTGGCTTACTGCCAGTACATGTGAAAAGGATCTAGGGGTCTTGGTGGACCTAGGTGTGCCCAGAGTCTTGGCGCATCGCTGAGCCTGATCGAGTCTTTCTCTGTCTCCAGGCTGCTTCCCACCCCTCTGAAAGATGCGGTCGAAGTCGCCATGTGGAGAAGGTGCTACAATATGCAGGAAGTGAACTCGGCGCTCAGTAAGATCCAGCTGGTGGGGTATTCCCAGAAAATAGTGAGTATCTGTGGTCATATCCTGCTTTTTGTGGGATGCGGGAGGCGTGGTAAGGTGGTCGCCTGCCCTGTGACCTGATGGCGAAGGGCAGGTAACAGATCTGAAAATATGCGTTAAAAGTCAGAGGAGCTTTAAATCAGAAAATAAATGGAGAATGGAAACTACTTAAGGAATATATAAGATTATATTGTATAAACAATACCATCCTAGCAGAACTGGAATGATACCTGTAAACAAAAATGAGCAAAACAAATACTTTAGTGGAATACATGAAAAAGGAAATAATGTAAAGCTGTGCAATAAAATTATGATTATATAAACAGTGTAATAAGGATGATTGGAAGTTTTATGCAAAAAAAATTTATTTGATGGGTATGATTCTGTATAAATTTTTGGTTCTTTTTCTTTTCTTTTTTTATCTTTTTATCTTCTTTTTTCTTATTCTTATGTCTGGAATTTTTTCGCCCTTATTCAATACCTTTATACTTACCTTTGTTGTAAATGATCATTCGTGCCTGTCTTTTAAACCAATAAAGATTTACCATGAAAAAGAAAAGGAAAGCAAATATGCATAAAATAAAATCATATGCCGGGAAATACTTTCTGGAATTCTTCCTTGTGTTGTTTTTCTTCTCTCCAACAGGAGCTTTTTGGCGCAGTCCAGGTCTCCCCTCTCAGTTCCGGTTATGCGCTTGGCAGCTCCAACTGGATCATCCAGTCGCATTACGAGAAGGTTTCCTACGTCTCGGGATCCTCACTCCTCACGACGCACCCGCAGGTACGACGCCCTCCCAGAACTCTGAGGTTTCGCCTTCCTTAAGGTGTGACATTCTCCTTCCTCAATACAGTTAATCTACAGCGCATGCGCGACTCCACAGCTCCTCCCTCTCGTGCGACTTACATCAGGGGTCAGCAAACTTTTTCAGCAGGGGGCCGGTCCACTGTCCCTCAGACCTTGTGGAGGGGCCAGACCATAGCTGTCAACTTTTCCATTTTTTAAAGGGAAATTCCCTTATTCCGAATAGGATTCCTCGCAAGAAAAGGGAAAAGTTGACAGCTATGGGCCGGACTATATGGGGGGGGGGGCGGAATGAATGAATTCCTATGCCCCACAAACAACCCAGAGATGCATTTTATATAAAAGCACACATTCTACTCGTGTAAAAGCATGCTGATTCCTGGACCATCCGCGGTCCAGATTTAGAAGGCAATTGGGCCAGATCCAGCACCCAGACCTTAGTTTGCCTACCCATAACCTACATCATAGGAGCCTACACAACACAAAACACTGTTGCTGTATGTAGGTTTTATTTTTATTTTTTTATCTTATATTTTGGAAATGTACATCCAGGTTTTTTCCTTTAAATTTTTTGGGGAGTCCCCAAGAGAGTAAGCTATAACTTGTTTAGCTTATATGTAAATCCGGCACCGGGCGTCTTCTACGAGCAGAGGCAGGCGCAGGCACCACATTCCCTCTCCCTCTTCAAGAAAGCAGCACACGTTGTCTTTCCCACATCCATCAGGAGGTCGTGCAGCAGAAGAGGCAGGGGCAAGAAACTCCTAGAGTCGTAGAGATGTACAGCTGGAGGGAACCCATAAGGTCATCCAGTCCAACCCCTTTGTTGTTGTTTAGTCGTTTAGTCGTTTCCGACTCTTCGTGACCCCATGGAGCAGAGCACGCCAGGCACTCCTGTCTTCCACTGCCTCCCGCAGTTGGGTCAAACTCATATTCATAGCTTCGAGAACACTGTCCCACCATCTCGTCCTCTGGTGTCCCCTTCTCCTTGTGCCCTCCATCTTTCCCAACATCAGGGTCTTTTCCAGGGAGTCTTCTCTTCTCATGAGGTATTGGAGCGTCAGCTTCAGGATCTGTCCTTCCAGTGAGCACTCAGGGCTGATTTCCTTCAGAATGGATAGGTTTGATCTTCTTGCAGTCCATGGGACTCTCAAGAGTCTCCTCCAGCACCAGAGTTCAAAAGCATCCATTCTTCGGCGATCAGCCTTCTTTCTGGTCCAGCTCTCACTTCCATACATCACTACTGGGAAAACCATAGCTTTTACTATACGGACCTTTGTTGGCAAGGTGATGTCTCTGCTTTTTAAGATGTTATCTAGGTTTGTCATTGCTTTTCTCTCAAGAAGCAGGTGTCTTTTAATTTCGTGGCAGCTGTCACCATCTGCAGTGATCATGGAGCCCAAGAAAGTAAAATCTCTCACTGCCTCCCTTTCTTCCCCTTCTATTTGCCAGGAGGTGATGGGATCAGTGGCCATGATCTTAGTCCAACCCCTTACAATGCAGGAATCACAGGCCTGCTCTGTGAGGGAAATTCTGCTTTAGTTCCTGGGATCCAGCCTTGTATCATTATAATGTTACTGAATTATAGAAATGTGGAATTGTAGAGTTGTAGGGGACCCCAGAGTCATCTAGTCTAACCCCCAGCCATGCAGGAATCACAGCTAAAGCATCCCTGAGACATGGCCTTCCAACTTCTGCAAGGAAGGAGAGTCCACCACCTTCTCAAGGAGTCCTTTTAAAACCTTTTAATGTAATCCTTTTGATGTGACCTGAGCCCATTGCAAAATGTCAAAAAAGAGATTACGGGTCCTGCTTTTTCATTAAGAAAAACAACCTGTTGCATATTAATAACAGGCCAGATATTATTAATGCAATTGCCTTCCCAGTTTAGGCACCTATGAAAGCCCCACAGATTCTCTGCGCCCGCTTCCCTTCTCTCCCCCTTTTTATTTATTATTCAAATGCCACATATTTCAACTCCGCAATATCTGAAGGCAGCTTCCAGGCTACATCTATATCGCCCCTTGAATTATCTTTTTTCTCGAAGGGATGATGGCTTAACTGGCTGCCAACTCGTCCACCCCGCTTGTCTAAGGGCAAACTCTTCAAAGTGCTATAGATGTAATTTCCAGTAAATTAATTCTCACAAGATCCATAATTTCCCTACACTCCCCCCCACCCCGAAAGACAGCTACATCTTTGGAGGGCTGATGGATTCGGCAGGCAGAGCTCTGAGCTACAATCCCCGCCAGCGGCAGACCAGGGAAAGGAGTCGTGCCCAGTTTTTGCCCTTGGGTTTATTTCTTTTAGGGCAAAAGGTGTGATTTGGCAAAGCGGTTGGGGCAACCAAACCGATTCTGCCCCTTTCCTTCTCTTTTTCATAGAGTGTTCTCCACCTGCTTGCATCTGTACCAGCAATGGGGGGGGGTAGGTTTTGCCTTTCTAGAGCTGGCCAGTGTCTATAAGAGAGACAGCAGTTGAATAGTGGTTAGAGTCCCGGACTAGGACCCGGGAGACCAGGGTTCGAATTCCCCACTTGGCTACAAATCTCTTCGGCTGACCTTAGGGACAGTTGTGCTGGCCTACCTCACAGGGAATTACCGTATTTTTTGCTCTATAAGACTCACTTTTTCCCTCCTAAAAAGTAAGGGGAAATGTGCGTGCGTCTTATGGAGCGAATGCAGGCTGCGCAGCTATCCCAGAAGCCAGAACAGCAAGAGGGATCGCTGCTTTCGCTGTGCAGCGATCCCTCTTGTTATTCTGGCTTCTGAGATTCAGAATATTTTTTTTCTTGTTTTCCTCCTCCAAAAACTAGGTGCGTCTTATGGTCTGGTGCGTCTTATAGAGCGAAAAATACGGTAAATGAGGGAGCAAGCCGCTTTGAACTCCGTGGAGGAAAAAACGGGGGGATAGAAATGCAAAAACAGAGTCTAGTCTCCACCCAGACAAGGAAAAGGCAGTATCAGAGTCGAAGGACACAATCCAGACGTCTCCATCACCGTAAATGTGTCTGGTTCTCGTTTTGAAAAGCCTTCTAGGCTGAAGTTTCCATGTTCTGCTGCGGGAAGAAGCCTAGCGCAAGGGGATTTTTCAGCTGCGGTTCCTGTGTCACGGGGTTGGACTAGATGACCATGGGGGTGCCCTTCCAACCCTACAACTCTTGTGTTTCTAAGGAAGACTAGAGAACCAGTGTAGCTGGTAGTGGAGAGAGAGAGAGAGAGACCTCTGAGCGAGCTTTCAAAAAAAAACCCAACACAGACAAATGAAATGCCTGTCATCCAAAAATGCCAATAAGACAGTAAAAGTAATATTGAACCTGCCCGTGGAAAATATATGTAATGATTATGCCGGTATTCAATAGTCATAATTTCATCTTCCGTTTGAGTCGAGGGGGGCTGGCATTGATTCACTGGGGCTGCTGCACAGAGGATAACTTTGAAAGACTTTGGGCCAAACTTCTGATCGGCTTTCCCTTCAACCTCCCTGCAGCTGTCAAAGTCAGGCTTTCTTTCCTGAGCCAAGAGTCTTTATTTTTCTGCCCCTGTGCTGTTGAGTGGCTGTGGTATTATTTTTGTGTTTTTATACTGTAAACCACCCTGTGACCCTCAGATGAAGGACAGTAATAATAAAAATAATAATAAATTTTTATTTATACCCTGCTCTTCCTGGTTCAGAAAACCGGGCTCAGGGCAGCTAACAACAAATTTAAAACACTTAATTTAAAACACTTAATTGATGCAACAAAAAAACAGCATAAAATACAGTATGAAACGTGGATTACAATAAATTCAGAATTAAAAAAATCAATTTAGGGGGAAATCCATCCAATAAACATTAGATGATCACCAGGGCCAGCTGGCTAAATTAGTCCTGTTTGGGCTAGTGAGGAGACCAGGGGAGAATTAGCTGTGGTGTCCCAGAGCGGGTAATCTTCATAAAAAGGGGAGGGAAGGAAGGGGCCAAAGTTAAACAAACAGGTTGTGCCTATGAGCGTGCAATTGATTATTTTTCTGGAGCGGATTTAGCACAAGAGATGGTCTTTTTCAATGTAGCCCCCCAGATATGGAGCACTCTCCCCAGTGAAGACCCGCCTTACACCTGGCCAAGACTTTCTCCTTTCCCCCTGGCATTTGGTGAACTGTGATGGCTGAGACTCATAGAATTGTAGAGTTGGAAGGGAGCCGCGGGGTCATCTAGCCCAACCCGCTGCCTGCAGGCTTGTCAAGGACCATGTGCTGCTGCTAATAATAATAATAATTTTATTTATATCCCGCCCTCCCCAGCCGATGCCGGGCTCAGAGCGGCTAACAACAGTAAAAATAACACAATTTACATAAAATCACAATCAATGACTTGAAATACATTCTAAAATCAATTCATTCTAAAATCAATTCAAAATCAAATTAATGGCAAGCATTGGGCTAAAGTTCTATGAGGATTATAGAAGGAGGGGGTCAGACTGTGCCTTGGCCAAAGGCCTGGTGGAACAGCTCCGTCTTGCAGGCCCAGTGGGAAGATGTCAAGTCCCGCAGGGCCCTAGTCTCTTGTGACAGAGCATTCTACTAGATTGGGGCCATGGCCGAAAAAGCCCTGGCTCTGGTTGAGGCCAGCCTAACCTCCCTGTGGCCCGGGACCTCCAAGATGTTTTTATTTGAAGACCGTAAGTTTCTCTGTGGGACATACCAGGAGAGGCGGTCCCGTAGGCACGAGGGTCCTAGGCCGTATAGGGCTTTATAGGTTAAAACCAGCACCTTAAACCTCATCCTGTACTCCACCAGGAGCCAGTGCAGCTGGTATAGCACTGGGTGAATGTGATCCCGCGGCGAGGACACCATAAGGAGCCTGGCCGCGGGATTCTGCACCCACTGGAGTTTCTTGCTGTTGCTGATAGAACAGGACTCTGGACTAGATGGGCCTTTGGCTTGACCCAGCTAGGTTCGTCTTAACATTATTCCTGTGAATCCACAGCCAAGCAATGGAATCTGTTCACACCAGCCTGCAGTGATAGGCCCCAACGTGGATAACTTTTAAAGAAGATCCCTGGTCTCAGGGGCTGTGTTCAGCCTCCAAATGCTGCCTTTGTATACCAGTCGCTGGAAGTGGTGCATGCTCTAGTTATCTCCCACTTGGACTACTGCAATGCGCTCTACATGGTGCTCCCTTTGAAGGTGACCCGGAAACTACAACTAATCCAGAATTCGGCAGCTAGACTGGTGACTGGGAGCGGCTGCCGAGACCATACAGCACTGGTCTTGAAAGACCTACATTGGCTCCCAGTACGTTTCCAAGCACAATTCAAAGTGTTGGTGTTGACCTTTAAAGCCCTAAATGGCCTTGGTCCAGTATACCTGAAGGAGCATCTCCACCCCCATTGTTCTGCCCGGACACTGAGGTCTAGTGCCCGAGGGCCTTCTGGTGGTTCCCTCCCTGCGACGTTACAGGGAACCAGGCAGAGGGCCTTCTCAGTGGTGGCACCTGCCCTGTGGAACACCCTCCCATCAGATGTCAAGAAAATAAACAACTATCTGACGTTTAGAAGACATCTGAAGGCAGCCCTGTTTAGGGAAGTTTTTAATGTTTGACGTTTTATCATGTTATTAATATTCTGTTGGGAGTCGTCCAGAGTGGCTGGGGAAACCCAGCCAAATGAGACGGGGTTTAAATAATAAATTATTATTATATTATTATTATTATTATAGAAGAGGAGGCTGATATTGCACTCCTCTAGCCCCATTAAGGAGGGATGCAGGTGGCGCTGTGGATTAAACCACAGAGCCTAGGACTTGCTGATCAGAAGGTCGGCGGTTAGAATCCTTGCGACGGGGTGAGCTCCCATTGTTCGGTCCCTGCTCCTGCCAACCTAGCAGTTCGAAAACATGTCAGCGTGCAAGTAGATAAATAGGTACCACTCCAGTGGGAAGGTAAACGGTGTTTCCATACGCTGCTCTGGTTCGCCAGAAATGGCTTAGTCATGCTGGCCACATGACCCGGAAGCTGTACGCCGGCTCCCTCGGCCAATAAAGCGAGAAGAGCGCCGCAACCCCAGAGTCAGCCACGACTGGACCTAATGGTCAGGGATCCCTTTACCTTTAGTCCCATTAAGGATCTGGTTGGTCCCTGTGAGAAAAGGATGCTGGGCGAGACACACCCATTTGACCTGCTCCATCGTCTTCTGCATGCATTGAGGAACGCGATGCCTCTAACTCTGCACTTTTGTCCTCTTTGCAAGATGCCCGGAGTCTATTTTGGTTGAGAATTGTGTGACTAATAATAAATAAATAAACGAGCTCTGCCTCTTGGACCTTCCCTTTCAGCCCATGGACCAAGCTTCCCTGAAAAACAGCGATGTCTTCATCCTGACCGGCCTCACCCAGATTCCCACCGCAAATCCCGACGGCATGGTGGGAGAATTCTGCAGTAACCTTGGTAAGGTGGCCGTGGGGTGTGTGTGTGTGTGTGTGTGGCAGCGATGGCCGTGTTGTTGCTGGTTGGGTTGGGTTGGGTTGGGGTTCTTTTGCCACTGCTTGCTTTATAATCTGACTCATAACCCCATGTGGGAAATCGCTCCGAGATTCCCGGAACAGAAGTAACTGCTTGACTCCCTCTCTCCCTCTCCCTGGCATAAAACTAGCAGTTGAGATTTTTTACGATGTGCCTTTGCCTCCCTCATTAATACAGTAAGTGCTTTTGAGAGATGCAAGTTGTACCTTATGGAAGGCGGCTGGAGACGACACCCAGTCTTGGAACGGAACAGGCATAATGAGATTGAATCGCCCGCTCTCCTTGGCTCGCTAAGTGGGTGGCTTCCTTGCCAGCGGTTTGTGTTTTGACAAGGCTCTCCCGTCGACAGGTGGCCCTGCCGCTTCCTGGCTCCCTCTCGGCCAGTTTAACATCTTCGCGTGTGCTTTGTTAAAAGTCAGCCTCCCGTTTCTCGAAAGGCGCAGTCGTCGCCAACACCTGGTGACCCAAAAGCCTGCGCAAGGTGGAGGCAGCGTAGCCCACAAGCTTGGTCTGCCCTTACATAGAATCACAGAATGGTAGAGTTGGAAGGGACACCAGCGGTCATCTAGGCCAACCCCCTGCAATGCAGGAATAAATGGCCAGCTGATTCCATGTAGCTGCTGCTGACAGCCAAGCCAGAAATGGTGGTTGTCAAGGCAGTGACAGGGATTGGCCTAAGTGACCCTTTGGGTCCCTTCCAGCTCCACATTCCATGAAGACCCTAACCTTCCCCTTGGCACTGACCTTGTCCAGGATCTCTGCATGAAGTTAGGATCAGTCCTGGGCTCCCCTCCCTAGATCCAAGCTTGAGGAAGAGAGCTCAGTAGCAGAGTGCAGGCTTTGCATGCAGAATCTCTGGCGTCAATCGATGGATTCAATCTATGGTGTGGATATTAACACTGAAATGATTGGATGCATATAAACGGACTCCTCTTGGAATAAGATAGTCTAGGCCCATTTGTCTGATGCAAAACTTCACTTGCAGAGCTTTCTTCAAAACAGAACAAAAAAACCCCACACCCAGTAAATGATAAATTTACACCATAAATATATTGTGGTGTTCAGCAGGGGCTCATCGCCTTAGAAATAAAAAATAATTCCAGACAGACCTAAAAGCATAGGTTTCTATCTTCCTTCAGCCTCCATTTTGCCTAGATCTGTATTGACTCCCTTCAGGAGAGTCTCAGAGCCTGAGAACAAAAAGCCAACGGCACCAGCCTTTCAAGGTGGCCAGTTTGCCATTCAATAGCCTCTCATGTGATCTAAGGTTAAACACACACAGGTTGGCTAGCAGGAAGCTCTTAGTATACCTCTGTGGAATTTCCCCGTGTTAAACCTTTCCAGCAATACACACAGGCGTTCTCCATTTCATTGTCAATTAAGCAATTATACTTGACAAAGGCTAGGGAAGACTCCCTGGCTAAAACTCCTGCCAGTCAGGGGAGACCCATTGGCCTGCCTCTGAATAAGGTACTTTTCTTCCCTAAAATAACATCAAGGCCTCGATGGCTTTAAAATTGGATTAGACCCACTCATGGAGGAGGAGAAGACGTTTGATGGCTACTAGCCACAATCGGAGGCAGCAGTGCTTCTGAATACCAGTTTGATTGAATCCTGCTTCAATGGCTTTAAGCCCTCTTGGGTATTTTGTCGGATTGTGACCCTCGGCTTTTTATCAGGCTGCTATTATAAGCTAAAAGGGACGCAGGTGGCGCTGTGGTCTAAACCACTGAGCCTCTTGGGCTTGCCAATCAGAAGGTCGGCAGTTTAAATCCCTGCGATGGGGTGAGCTCCCGTTGCTCTGTCCCAGCTCCTCCCAACCTAGCAGTTGGAAAGCACGCCGGTTCAAGAAGATAAATAGGTACCACTGTGGCGGGAAGGTAAACAGCGTTTCCGTGCTCTCTGGCATTCATCATGATGTCCTGTTGCACCAGAAGTGGTTTAGTCATGCTGGCCACATGACCCAGAAAGCTGTGGACAAATGCTGGCTTCCTCGGCCTGAATTGACTTTGACTGGACTTAACCATCCAGGGGTCCTTTACCGTTATTATAAACAGGCATGTTGTCTTTTAAGTTTTGGGTTTTTGTTTTGTATTTTGTATTTCCCCGGATGGCTTTAAGTACTGTCCCAAGTTTTTCTGGTCCAAATTGGATTTCTTCCATTTAAACTGAGACTTTGATTTAAGTTAATAGGTTTTTTTTAATTTTGGACCCTTGTCCCTCTTTGCATATAGCAGAGGTTTTCAACCTTTTTGGGTTCACGGCTCCCTTGACCAACTGCATTCTTTCTGCGGCACCCCTGGGGGGCTCAGGAGCCTAGTTATGTCACCCCTTGCCTGCAGAGCCGGCAGCCCCTCGCCCTTTTTCAAACACCCTCCCTGGTGGAGTGTTCCCTCAGCCTCCTCTCCCCTGGGCAAATTCAGCTGCCGCCCCTGGTCTCTGATCTTTTCCAGCCCAAAGTGAGATGCCTCCTCACACTGCCCCACAGGTGCCGGGCAAGCACCCCCTGGCCAGCCCCAGTGCCACCATTCGCCTGCGGAGCTTGTAGCCAGGGCTGCTGCAACAAACAGCTGTGCAATAATAATAATAATTTATTATTTATACCCCGCCCATCTGGCTCGGCTTCCCCAGCCACTCAGGGCGGCTTCCAACCAAATATTAAATACAGTAATACATCAAACATTAAAAGCTTCCCTAAACAGGGCTGCCTTCAGATGTCTTCTAAAAGTTTGGTAGTTGTTGTTCTTTTTGACATCTGGTGGGAGGGCGTTCCACAGGGTGGGCGCCACTACCGAGAAGGCCCTCTGCCTGGTTGCCTGTAACTTGGCTTCTTGCAGTGAGGGAACTGCCAGAAGGCCCTCAGAGCTGGACCTCGGTGTCCAGGCTGAACAATGGGGGTGGAGACGCTCCTTCAGGGATACTGGGCCATTTAGGGCTTTCAAGGTCAACGCCAACACTTTGAATTGTGCTCAGAAACGTACTGGGAGCCAATGTAGGTCTTTCAAGACCGGTGTTATGTGGTCTCAGTGACTGCTCCCAGTCACCAGTCTAGCTGCCACATTCTGGATTAGTTGTAGTTTCCGGGTCACCTTCAAAGGTAGCCCCGTGTAGAGCACATTGCAGTAGTCCAAGTGGGAGATAACTAGAGCATGCACCACTCTGGCGAGACAGTCTGCGGGCAGGTACGGTCTCATCCTGCGTACCAGATGGAGCTGGTAAACACCTGCCCTGGACACAGAATTGACCTGTGCCTCCATGGACAGCTGTGAGTCCAGATTGACTCCCAGGCTGCATACCTGGTCCTTCAGGGGCACAGTTACCCCATTCAGGACCAGGGAGTCCTCCACACCCACCCGCCTGCTGTCCCCCCAAAACGATACTTCTGTCTTGTCAGGATTCAGCCTCAATCTGTGCAAGCCTTGGGGAGGCAGAGACATGAGAGGGCACCAGAGGAGGGAGGGAAGGAAGGAAAGAGGGACGGAGGCCTTGTACCATCGTTCAAGGCACCCCAGGATGCCATGGCATGCTGGTTGAAAACCACTGGCATATAATAATTGTATTCCCTGCTTATTGTTGTGGACTTTGGTGAAGACGATAAAATGCATAGCACAGAAAAAGGGGTGTTCTGGCCCCAGCCAATGTAACTAAACCCAAAAGACATAAGTGGGTTCAGAAGCTTAAACAATGCGAAATGCTTCTACATACTATAGGAAGATGAAGTACAATTTTAATCCAGCGTCAAAAGATGAAAATGTAATCAAAGCAGATGAAATTACAAAGATGGCACAATAACAAATTGACTTTGCTATTCGGGTCAAAGCCTGATCCAACTCTCCATATCGACCGATAGATGACTACAAAATTTGTCAGAGGCCAGTAGTCAAAATAGATCAGATTACAAATACAATATAATAACAAATAGACTTGCCAAAGCATGATCAAAATCCTTATATGACTAATAGATGACTACAAAATTTGACAAAGGCCCGATGCGCTTCGACCCAATTGGTCAGGAGAAAATTATTAAACGCAACTTGGTCACAGAGAATTGGTTAGTCTGTCGAGACCTTAAAGTGACCATATATCCCTTTAATTTACATCTACAAAGTGAATCTCTCCCTCTCTCTCTCTCTCTCTCTCTCTCTCTCTCTCTGTCTGTTGGTTTATAGAGAAACATAGCAACAGCTGCTATTACATATTTAGAATTAACCAGCAAATTAATTTTCACCATCGGAAAAGCTGTTTATTTTTGAGCTGTATGATGTCGTGGGTGTGAACAGCATCACTTAGCATCCTGCTCAAAATGTGCCTTGGAAGGGCAAGGCCACCAGTGGCTATTAGCTGTCTGTCGTGGCTACATTCTCCCCCCACTGTCGGAGGGTTGTGAGTTTGAGCCCCACATTGGACAAGAAATTCCTGCATTGACGGTGTTGGACTAGATGACCCTCGTGGTCCCTTCCGATTCTGTGACGGGAAGCTGAGAATAAAGTTTCCTGGGTGGTGAATTCCTTGCAACGTCATTTCTGACCCTGGAACCCCTTGAGAGGGTAAATTTGTGCTTCCTTGGCTATTTAATGCACACCGCGTGACTTGGCTCCCTTCATGGATCACTGCCTTGCCGTGGCGAAGGGGCTTGAATAACTTTACTTTCTTGGGCTCCGTGATCACTGCAGATGGTGACAGCAGCCATGAAATTAAAAGACGCCTGCTTCTTGGGAGAAAAGCAATCACAAACCTAGACAGCATCTTAAAAAGTAGAGACATCACCTTGCCAACAAAGGTCCGTATAGTAAAAGCTATGGTTTTCCTAGTAGTGATGTATGGAAGTGAGAGCTGGACCATCAAGAAGGCTGATCGCCGAAGAATTGATGCTTTTGAATTCTGGTGTTGGAGGAGACTCTCGTGAGTCCCATGGACTGCAAGAAGATCAAACCTCTCCATTCTGAAGGAAATCAGCCCTGATTGCTCACTGGAAGGACAGATCCTGAAGCTGAGGCTCCAATACTTTGGCCACCTCATGAGAAGAGAAGACTCCCTGGGAAAGACCCTGATGTTGGGAAAGATGGAGGGCACAAGGAGAAGGGGATGACAGAGGATGAGATGGTTGGATAGTGTTCTCGAAGCTACCAGCATGAGTTTGACCAAACTGCAGGAGGCAGTGGAAGACAGGAGTGCCTGGCGTGCTCTGGTCCAGGGGGTCACGAAGAGTCGGACACGACTAAACGACTAAACAACAACAACAACACGTGACTTGGCTCACTTCCTTGAGTCGTCTGTTGGCATTCTGACGGTGGCACTGTTGTCGTCTGGATTATATCGTTTGCTGGTAAGCGCACACCTCAGAGCCAGGGTTTAGACAATGTGGTGCCCACCAGATGTTGCTGGACTCCCTTCAGCCACACCTGGCATGACCCAGTGTTCAGGGATGCTGGGAATTGTAGTTCAGGAACAACAGCAGCTCACCACCTTGGCTACAGAGCCTTAGAAGAACAGAGCATTTTCTGCCGGTTTTTCCTCCATGGTTCTCAGGATCTGCCTCCATGCCCAGCTGAGTATCAGAATTTTATTTTTTCCCCAAGGGTTTGACATGAGATGTTTCTGGCTTCTCTTGCTTTTGCTGCCAGAGCTGTAAAAGCTCCCAACTTGCATTTTTTTTCCACATTTTGGAGCTCTTCTGCCCTCTTCAGGAAAAGGACGTGACTACATTGGAACCTTGATGGCAGAAAGTCAGGAGGAATTAAAGAACCTTTTAATGAGGGTGAAAGAGGAGAGCGCAAAATATGGTCTGAAGCGCAACATCAAAAAAACGAAGATCATGGCCACTGGTCCCATCACCTCCTAGCAAATAGAAGGGGAAGAAATGGAGGCAGTGAGAGATTTTACTTTCTTGGGCTCCATGTTCACTGCAGATGGTGAAAGCAGTCACAAAATTAAAAGATGCCTGCTTCTTGGGAGAAAAGCAATGACAAACCTAGACAGCATCTTAAAAAGTAGAGACATCACCTTGCCAACAAAGGTCCATATAGTGAAAGTTATGATTTTCCCAGTAGTGATGTGTGGAAGTGAGAGCTAGACCAAAAAGAAGGCTGATCGCCGAAGAATTGATGCTTTTGAATTCTGGTGCTGGAGGAGACTCTTGAGACTCCCATGGACTGCAAGAAGATCAGACCTCTCCATTCTGAAGGAAATCAGCCCAGAGTGCTCACTGGAAGGACAGATCCTGAAGCTGAGGCTCCGATACTTTTGCCACCTCAGGAGAAGAGAAGACTCCCTGGGAAAGACCCTGATTTGGGAAAGATGGAGGGCACAAGGAGAAGGGGATGACAGAGAACGAGATGGTTGGATAGTGTTCTCGAAGCTACCAGCATGAGTTTGACCAAACTGCAGGAGGCAGTGAAAGACAGGAGTGCCTGGTGTGCTCTGGTCCATGGGGTCACGAAGAGTCGGACATGGCTAAACGACTAAACAACAACAACAAATTGGAACAGACCAGATAGCCATCTTCAAATATCTTAAAGGCCGTCACATGGAAGAGGGAACATGTTGTTTTCTCCTGCTCTGGAGAGTAGGACTCAAACCAATGGATTCAAGTTGCAAGAAAGGAGATTCCGACTTAACATCAGGAAAAACTTTCTGACAGTAAGAGCTGTGTGACAGTGGAACGGTCTCCCTCGGGAGGTTTTTCGTTGGAGGTTTTTAAGCAGAGGTTGGAGGGCCATGTGTCATGGATGCCTTAGCCGACATTCCTGCATTGCAGGGGTTGGACTAGATGACCCTTAGGATCCCGTAAGATTCTGTTATCAGCACACAGGATGAAATTGTCAAGACAAACACAAAAGCATCACATGCCCTCTGCTTCACCATTGCTGCAATTCCTTCATGGAAACTGCGTGTAGCTTTTCAGATGTGAGGAATTACATTATGTGATTCTAGTGATGTCATAAACCTAAATCCATTTATTAATTTTTTTGTCCCCAGGCCCAAATGCAGTTTCCCCCCACCTTTTATTGGGTTCAGGAGCAGAGGTGGTAAATGTTTAAAAGGAATAATGGGGAAAGAACGGACGAGAGAACCAGAGATATCTCTCCTTTAATCTAACAGTAGACAGGATATTAAACTTCCACCCGCTGGATCTTGAGAGAAGACGGTGCTCTGAAAATATTGGTGCAATGCCTGTGTAACAGCAGCAGGTGTTTTTTGTTTAAAGGACGATTGCAGCATTTGGAAAGACAGGGTTGCCAACTTGCCATACGACCGGGAATTCCTGGACGTGTCCTCTTTTGCAGGTCCTAAATACCCATCCAGTGTATTTTACATTTTAGAGCAAATGTCCTGGAGTTGGGGTTTAAAAAATAAAATAAAAAAGTGCTCAGGCTACTCTGGGTTCAGACTCTGGCTCTGGCAATTTGGGCTCGGATTTTGTGTCCGGCTTTTTACCTCTTGAAATATGGCAACTCTAGGAAAAAGGCAAGGAAAAGGAATTGTAAATGAAGCAACGAAGATCTCTGCCCGTGTGAATTCTCATTTGGAATTCTGTGTGCAGTTCTGGTCTCTCTGCATCTTAAAAATGATCTAGTAAAAAAGTAGGGAAGGATCAGGAGATTGAAAGCTGGCAGGGAATATGGAAACCAGTCCATTGCGAAGGCCGGTTAAGTGATGGCAGCAATTTTGGACAATGGAGCAATTGAAAGCACCTAGACGTGTAAACCTTGTTTTATTTTTCTTATGTTCTTATTTATTTATTTATTTATTGTTGTTGTTTAGTCGTTTAGTCGTGTCTGACTCTTTGTGACCCCCTGAACCGGAGCACGCCAGGCACTCCTTTCTTCCACTGCCTCCCGCAGTTTGGTCAAACTCATGCTGGTAGCTTCAAGAACACCGTCCCACCATCTCGTCCTCTGTCGTCCCCTTCTCCTTGTGCCCTCCATCTTTCCCAACATCAGGGTCTTTTCCAGGCAGTCTTCTCTTCTCATGAGGTGGCCAAAGTATTGGAGTCTCAGCTTCAGGATCTGTCCTTCCAGTGAGCACTCAGGGCTGATTTCCTTCAGAATGGAGAGGTTTGATCTTCTTGCAGTCCATGGGACTCTCAAGAGTCTCCTCCAGTACCATAATTCAAAAGCATCAATTCTTCGGCGATCAGCCTACTTTATGGTCCAGCTCTCCCTTCCATACATCACTACTGGGAAAACCATAGCTTTATGGATCACTGCCTTGCCATGGTGAAGGAGCTTGAATAACTCAGAGAAGCTATGAGCTATGCCGTGCAGGGCCACCCAAGATGGACAGGTCATAGTGGAGAGTTTGACCAAACGTGATCCACCTGGAGCAGGAACCAGCAAGCCACTCCAGTATCCCTGCCAAGAAAACTCCATGGACGAAGACAACAGGCATATTTATTTAATACGTTTTACTTATTAAACTCACCTCTGAATGCTGCCAGCAACTGTAAGCACTTCATGCAGGAGTTTGGCTTATTTATATGAAGGCCAACGGGAAGATGTCACAAAGCTGGCAATATTGTTAAAAAATCTCAATAAATCCCTCCCCTCTCTTTTTGATATTTTATTTATTATACTTTTCAAGTTTATACATTTCACTAATTTTACATTCATTTTGACATTTAGAAACTTGACTTCCATCCCCCTCTTTCTGCAGTTCCTTAAATTTGTATTTGATATCTTCTGCATATCCAAATTAACTTAATTTGCTCATCTATTCATCATCTTTAAATATATGCCCGTATAAAAGTGCAGTCATCCTGCCAATGTTTATATCTGTTTAAAAATTATCTGTAAATATTCAATAAACCATTTCCATTCTTTTATTTAAAAAATTGGTTGTCTTGATTTCTTATTATTCCGGTAAGTTTTGCCATTTCTGCATATTCCATAAGTTTTTGTATCCACTCTTCCTTCAGTGGGACTTCTGCTTCTTTCCATTTTGGGGCAGGTAACATTCTTGCCCCCGTAGTCGCATACATGAATAGGTTTCTGTACAGTTTAGGTAGTTCTGTCCCTATAAATCCCAAAAGAAAAGCTTCTGGGTTTTTTTTACAAAGGTAATTTTAAACATCCTCTTCATTTCATTATATATCATTTCCCATCTTTTTTAAGGAATAAGATATGAGTTGTTCGGGGGGGCAACATAGACAATGGGGCAGCGGATATTATAGAGCAGACTTCACAAACCTCGCGCCCTCCAGATGTTTTGAACTACAACTCCCATCATCCCCAGCGAGCACAGTGTACACGACGCTTTTTTTGGTTAAAAAAAGAGAGAGGTGCCAGTACTCTGAACCATTGAGTGCCATTAAAAAAGAAAACTGAATAGTTATTCAGGTCCACATACCTATGGGACCGCCTCTCCTGGTATGCCCTGCGGAGGATATTAAGGTCCACAAATGATAACATTTTGGAGGTCCCAAGTCGCAAGGTGGTTAGATTGGTCTCAACTAGGGCCAGGGCCTTTTCAGTACTGGCCCCGACTTGGTGGAACGCTCTGTCCCAAGAGACTAGGGCCCTGCGAGACTTGACATCTTTCCGCAGGGCCTGCAAGACAGAGCTGTTCCGCCTGGCCTTTGGTTTGGACTCAGTCTGACCCTTATGTTTCCCTCCCCTTATGGTTTTGATCTATGAGCTACTTTTTAAATGAGGCTGCATTTTAAATTGCATTTTAACCTGTATTTTAAATTGGTTTTTGTTTTTTGTCCATCCCCCCCATTATGTTTTTAATGTGATTTTATTGGTGTTAGCCGCCCTAAGCCCGGCTCTGGCCGGGGAGGGCGGGGTATAAATAAAAATTATTATTATTATTATTAACTCTTCCCTATTCACTAACTCAAAAACATGTCCTTGCTCTTTGTTAAGCTTTGACCGTTCGGAATGGGGGGAACGTCCTGGTCCCCTGCTACCCGTCTGGCGTGATCTACGATCTTCTCGAGTGCCTGTACCAGTACATCGACTCTGCCGGCCTTTCCAACGTCCCCTTCTACTTCATCTCGCCAGTGGCAAACAGCTCCCTCGAGTTCTCCCAGATCTTTGCCGAGTGGTAAGTATTGGCAGCAAAGAGGTACCCCATGGCTGGGTGGAGGGGTACCTCCGACACAGGAAGAAAGAGGGTGGGAGAGCAAAGCTACTACAGTGGTACCTTGGTTCTCAAACTTAATCCATTCCAGAAGTCCGTTCCTAAACCAAGTTGCGCTTTCCCATAGAAAGTACAGTGGACACTCAGGTTGCGAAAGTGATAATAATAATAATTTATTATTTATACCCCGCCCATCTGGCTGGGTTTCCCCAGCCACTCTGGGTGGCTTCCAACAAAACACTAAAATACAATAACCTATTAAACATTAAAAGCTTCCCTAAACAGGGCTGCCTTCAGATGTCTTCTAAAAGTTTGGTAGTTATTTTTCTCTTTGACATCTGGTGGGTGGGTGGGTGTTCCACAGGGTGTGCGCCACTACCGAGAAGGCCCTCTGCCTGGTTCCCTGTAACTTGGCTTCTCGTAGTGAGGGAACCGCCAGTGATCCATAGTGATCCGTGTGGGATGCACGTTCGCAACCCGCAGCGCCGCGTCTGCGCACGCACGGGTTGCGATTCGGCGCTTCTGCACATGCTCAAAGGGCAATTTAGTGCTTCTGCGCATGTGCGATTGCTGAAACCCGAAAGTAACCCATTCCGGTACTTCCAGGTTTCGGCGCGTCCGTAACCTGAAAAAACGCAACCTGAAGCGTCTGTCACCCGAGGTATGAGTGTAATGCAAAATGGATTAATCTGTTCCAGACTTTTAAAAGCAACCCCTAAAACAGCAATTTAACATGAATTTTGCTGTCTAACGAGACCATTGATCCATAAAAAGAAAGCAATAAACAATGTACTGCAGTCACACAATCAGTCAATCAGTAGCTGAACTGGGTTCCACACAGTCACACACACAAAAAAGAGCCACAAAAACGCAAAATAAATAGTGAAAACAGACAGACCTCAGCGTAAGGCTCAAAATGGAAGTGTGGCACTCAAAACAGAAGCATAACACTCAAAACAGAGCACATTCAGCTTCTGGAAAATGTTCGCAAACCGGAACACTTACTTCCGGGTTTACAGTGTTTGGGTTCCAAGTTGTTTGAGTACCAAGGCGTTTGAGAACCAAGGTACCACTGTATTCTGAAAAATGCTTTTTTTATGGGATAGGACAGTGGTTTTTGACCAGTGTGCCGTGGCACCCTGGGGTGCCTTGAAGGATGGTCAGGGGTGCCCTGGGCAACACTGGCCTCTGTCCCTCTTACTTTCCCTCCCTCCTCTGTTGAACCTCTCGCGTCTCTGCCTCCCAAAGACTTGCACAGCTGTTTGTTGCAGCAGCCCTGGCTCCAAGCTCCGCAGGCGAATGGTGCCTCTGGGGCTGGCCAGGGCGTGCTGGGTGCCAGGAACAGAGGCAGCCTCGGAGTAGGCAAGCAAGCGGGCGAGGGTGCCCAGCCAGCCAGTCCACCAGCCCTTGTTTTGGGGAATGGATGGACAAGTGGGAGGCCGGGCAGACAGGAGGGCACCACGCTGACCCTTCTTCGTGCTTGCCCTGTGCAAGGGCTGCCTGGGAGCTGAGTGCCTGAATTTCCACCAATTCAGGCCTGACAGCGCCTGCTGCTGCCTCTGCTGCTTCCCAAGGTGAGCAGGGTGCTGGCCTCACATTCACCGTTAGCCAGTCTCCGTCAGGCCACAAGGTCTGGGGGCATCCTTTCCCCAGGCCCCTGTGGGGCGGCGGGTGGCTCAGAGATCAGGGGCAGTGGCGGCATCTGCCCAGAGGACTCGCAAGGAGAGAGGAGAGGAGGCTGAGGGAACGCTCCACCAGGGAGGGTGTTCGAAAAAGGGCAAGAGGCTGCCAGCTCTTCAGGCAAGTGGGGAATTTTTTTTTTTAATTGCATTTTATTTATTTGTTAACATTCTTATATTACATCAGTAAACGTTGTCATATTACATTACAGGACTTCCTGTAATATAATTTCCAACATGTATACAAAAATTATATACAAATTTTATGTACCTAGAAAGAAAATGAAACCAAAAAAAAAGGAAAGAGAAAAAACAAAAACACATTTCCCCCCAAAATCATATACCGTATTTTTCGCTCTATTGGATGCACCGGACCACAGGACGCACCTAGTTTTTAGAGGGGGAAATCAAGGGAAAAAATATTATTCCCCCCCCCCCCAGCCCCAAAGAGCAAAGAAGCCAAGTGGGATCCATAGCCGTGCAACCTCTCCAGCCAGGAGCTAAACCTCTCCAGCACGGCTAAAGAAAAAGACAAGGCAGCGAGTTTGCTGGCTTGGCTTCCTCTTTAGCCTTGCGCAGCATCTTTAGCCTTGTTCAATGGGATGGATCGCGCCCACTGTCCACCAGGGCTGGACTAGATGACTCCTGCGGTTCCCTTCCAACCCTGCAATTCTATGACCTCGGAAGGTGTTGGGGGTCTCCACCACTGGAGGCTTTCATGCAGCAGTTGGGGGACCATCTGCCTGGCGTTCTTTAGCTGTGATTCCTACATTGTGAGGGGGCTGGGCTAGATGACCCTTGGGTGGCCCTCCCAACTCTATACAGTCCTACAATTCTGCGGCAGGAGATCCACAGCCACTTCACACAATGCCCACTCCCAATTTTCATTGGAGAGACATGTGGCTTCAGTGTCTAGGTAGCTACCCCCCAACCTGCCACTCTTCCCCCACCCCACTTAAGCCGAGGGAATTCCTGCCCAGAGAAGCTCCCAGGTGAGGCAAGGGTTAAGATCTACCTCTGGTAAATGGCTTTGTATCCCCCCTCTTTCCCTTTTCTCTTCTTCTTCTATGCTATTTCCTTCTTTTGTGTTTTGTTTAATCTGTTTTTATTGTATACTAAAATAAAAGCTGCAAAGTTTCCTTTTTTATAATATCCCCCCCTCCAAGCTAAAACGTTAATCTAGATAAAAACACTGATCCAGAGGAAAAGAAGGGGGTGGAGAAAGGACAAAAAAAGAAAAAGAGGTAGAGATAGAGAGATTTTTTTAAAAGTTGGCTTCTTTAGCCTTGCGCAGCCTCCCGCGGCTGGAGAGGTGCGCAATGCTAAAGAGGAAGCCAGGGCAGCGAGGGGATGGATCGCACTCGCTGCTCTGGCTTACTCGTAAACCTTGCCCCGCCTCCCGCGGCTGGAGAGGTTGCGCAAGGCTTTTCCCCAGGAGGGAGAAGGGACTGACTGGCCCTTCTCCCTCCTGGGGAAAAGCCCGCAAGAGCGGCGCGACGCTTGTGTGTGGCTCTTGGGGGCTTTTCCTGCCTGCCTCCCCCCCTGCATTCGCTCCATAGGACATACAGACTTTTCCCCTTAGTTTTTAAGACGGGAAAAGTGTGTCCTATGGAGCGAAAAATACGGTACATACCAACACGCTAGACTTCCTGTCTTTCCCATTGTATATTCCTTTTTTTATAAATGAATGTACTCTTATTATTGTATATTTCATTACATATTATCTAATACATTCCAATATCAATATGTGCTCTTAGCCTTATTTCTCAACTCAGTCTCACTCCGACGTCAATCGAATGCTAGCACAGATAGCGAAACTTTACTGTATTTTTGAACATATGTTTTATATCTATCCCACTTTTCCATAAATTTTTGTTTTGAATTGCCTCTCAGGGTATTTGTTAACTGCGCCATTTCAGGCAAGCAGGGGACATAACTGGGCTCCTGAGCCCCCCAGGTGGGCCGCAGAAAGAATGCAGTTGGTCAAGGGAACCGTGGACTCGAAAAGGTTGAAAACCTCTGGGATAGGGGGAACTGGGGATGAGTTTATGGGACCAAAGGAGGGTGGTCCACAAAAGTTTGGGAACTGCTGGGCTACACAATACTGCCAGCTGCCAGCACAGAACTTCTCTGCTTGGTTGGGAGATTTGAGCACTAGGTGGCAGTGCTGAACTGCAATGGGTTTTAGGATGGGTTTGTAAATCTGGCTTGTTTTTCTCTCTGTTTTTCTCTTTCTCTCTCTCCCTCCGCCTTTCAGGCTGTGTCACAATAAGCAGACGAAGGTGTACCTGCCAGAACCACCCTTCCCTCATGCGGAGGTAAGAAAATTGCCCTGCCCACCCGATCCCATCTCACGCAGGAGGGTGGGTGGAAGGGACGAGGGAGAAATTCCAGTCAGTTTGCATTTACAGTGGACGCTCAGGTTGTGAACGTGATCTGTGCGGGATGCACATTCGCAACCCGCAGCTTTCGCAACCTGCAGCTGTGCGTCTGCGCATGCGCGGGCTGCGATTCAGCGCTTCTGCGCATGCGCGACCGCCGAAACCCGGAAGTTACCCGTTCCGGTACTTCCAGGTTTCGGCGGTCCGTAACCCAAAAAAACCGCAACCTAAAGCGTCTGTGGCGCTGTGGGTTAAACCACAGAGCCTAGGACTTGCTGATCAGAAGGTCGGCGGTTCGAATCCCCGCGATGGGGTGAGCTTCTGTTGCTCGGTCCCTGCTCCTGCCAACCTAGCAGTTCAAAAGCACATCAAAATGCAAGTAGATAAATAGGTACCGCTCTGGCAGGAAGGTAAACAGCGTTTCCGTGCACTGCTCTGGTTCGCCAAAAGCGGCTTAGTCATGCTGGCCACATGACCTGGAAGCTGTCTGCAGACAAACGCCGGCTCCCTTGGCCTATAGAGCGAGATGATCGCCGCAACCCCAGAGTCGGCCACAACTGGGCCTAATGGTCAGGGTTCCCTTTACCTTTAAAGCGTCTGTAACCCGAGGTATGATTGTAAAGGGCTTTCCAAAACAGTACAAGGCCAGAACGCGGCCCTCTTCCGGAATTCACACTTCCCCGAATTTTGCAGCGCCTCCGGCCAGCATCTGCCGGGGTAAAGCGTGCATAAAAAGGCATATGATAGTGAAACGCATTTTAGGGGAAATTGCTTTGCAAAGATACGTAGTTCTGCAGAATTTCATAAACTTCCAGAAATGTCTTCCTCCCTTAAAAGAATAAAAAAGTTTAGCTAAGAGTCTCCAGATGCAGAAAAAGTTCTCTGCCAATTGTCGCATTTTAAGGATTCACCATTCAGTTGCAGGGGACTCTGTCGTTACTGAGAAGCTCTGTGGCTCTTTCTGATGATGCTATTTGGCGCCTCTCAGAGGGATGTGGCTGAAACGTCATAACTGGGCAGTGGTTCGGTCGCTACACTTACTTTATTTTTCCAGTTCTCCACATATAGCTAATTTGGGGGTTATTTTGAGTCCCCAGATATGAAAGGGCCAGTACTGCCTCCTCTCATGTTCAAACCCATAAGTGCTAATATAGGCTTGCCAGATTTCAAGAAGTAAAAACCCTAGCATGGAAAATGGCCTTTTCCCCTCCCACTAAGGGCAGCCAGAGTGAGCAAGGGACATGAATTCAACCCACAGAGCACCTGCTTCCTTATCAATCTTCAAAAGGAGGTTTGAAATTTCTGGGCGCGCAGACTCACACAAAATGAATTGCCCGTGTATTTTGGCCTTGCCAAAGACAGCATCCTAGATTTCTCTGATTTGCAGCCTTTCTCATTGACCTTCCGAATACTGCAGGGACAAAAGTTGTTTTTATTGCCACCGGTTTAATCACCGCACTGCTTAGAGATGCCCTTGACATCCATTCTCCTCTTTCAGAAATATATGCCTAGGTCCACTTTCAGAAATATATGCCTATGAAGCGTATGCTCCATCTTTCCGTCATGGGGATTCGAACCGCCGACCTTCCGATTGACAAGCCCAAGAGGCTCAATGGTTTAACCCACAGTGCCACCCGTGGGGCATAGGAATTTGTTCATTCCCCTCCAAAAAAATATAGTCCGGCCCCCCACAAGGTCTGAGGGACAGTGGACCGGCCCCCTGCTGAAAAAGCTTGCTGACCCCTGGTCTAGATGACCCTCAGGGTCCCTTTCAATAATTCTATGATTTTAATAACCCTTTTGATATTATGTGCCTTTTATTCGGCGTGTTTTGAGGTAAGGCTTCCTTTCAGGCGAGTCAAACCCCTGAGCAGGCTCACCCAGGCCACCTTCGGTGGAGAAAGAGATATCAAAACCTGCTTCAGAAATCTCATCCTTCCCTTACTAATCCATAGGCAAATCTGACGGCATTTATGGCATCTCACAAACCCCGCTTTCCTTGTTGTGGGAAATGCCCGCCAGCACCTCTGAGGCAGGTCCAGCTTCCTTCGGGTTGTCTCTGAAATTTCAAGAACTGCTTGCAGGGGTCTGTCTCTCCCCCCCCCCTTTCTTTCTCTCTCTCCCTCCATGAAATCCACATTTTGAAGTATAATCCTCATCTAGCACGTCCTTCGCTGGGCCTCCGACTCCCGTTGCTGGAGGTAACGCTTAGATGTTGAAGAGCTGGCCTCGGCGGGTTCCGAGGAGAAATCTCTTCCATGCTTAATTACAGGCACACTTGCAAGACGGAGGGCTTATTAACTCCCAGCGTGGCTCGCATGTGTGCATTTAGATTTATCGCTAGGAAACGAGTGGGGGCGTGTTTCTGAGCAGCCATCTTGTAGAAAGAGGAGGGCACACCAAATAGCTCATCAGAATCCCACTCTTGGGGTTGTGGGTTCGAGCCCCACGTCAGGCAAAAAAAATTCCTGCATTGCAGGGGGTTAGACTACATGGCCTTCAGGGACCCTTCTAACACTACAATTCCACGAGGCCTCTCAGGTGGTTTCCACTGAGCCCAGGACCCAGCTGATAACTGTCAGATACCAGGGGCGCGGGATCCTGCCTTGTATTGAGTCAAACCATTGGTCCACCCAGCTTACTGTTAGCTAAGTTAAACTGTGGAACTCCCTGCCACCAACCTAGATGGCTTTAAAAGAGGACTAGACAAATCCATGGAGGAGGGCCTGCGATGGCTAGTAGCTAGTGGTGTTGTTTGTGCTGTGAACAGCACAATTACCCAGAAAGTTTTATCATTCCCATCAATATACAGTGGTATATTGCGAGCCCCATTCGCATCCTGAACAGAACGTAAGATGTGACAGCGCGTGTGTGGGTCGCGTTTCACCGCTTCCGTGCATGTGTGTGATGTCATTTTGACCGTCTGCGCATGCGCGAGCAGCGAAACCCGGAAGTAACACGCTCCGTTACTTCCGGGTCGCTGCAGAGCGCAACCCAAAAATACTTATCCTGAAGGGTATTTATCCTGAGGTATGACTGTACAGTGAAACCTCGGTTGTCAAACGTAATCCATTCCAGAAGACCGTTCAACCTCCAAAACGTTTGACAACCGAGGCGCAAAAGGAGAATGTCAATTTCAGTGGTGAAAATCGGGGGGGGGGGGAGACGCACAGCGGAAGCCGTTCGACTTCTGAGGCACATTCAAAAATGGAAGCATTTACTTCCGGGTTTTCGGCGTTCGGGTTCCGAAATGTTCGTCAATGGAGATGTTCGATAACTGAGGTGTATGATTATCGCTATAACCTTGGCTTCTAATACACGAGTTTACCTTCCAATCTGAAAGAGTGTTTTAGCATCGATTGTATACCTACTATTTTAAAGCTATCGAGACGAATCGCTCGTTTGGATCGTCGCTTTATGCTTTGGAATGAATTCGCGCGCGGCTGTTTTTGCAGGGATGTATCGGCACGCGTTTTTGCCAGGACGCTTTGAACACGTTTGCGTGCAAGAGAGGCACGCGAGCTGATTCCTAGGCAGCGATAAATAACTTGCGTCGAGAGCGGTGCTCGAATGTCAATAAAGGAAGAACGCGGGAAAGGGAAAGGAGGTTTCTGACAGCCTCCCTTCTCTCCTTCCAGCTCATTCAGACCAACAAGCTCAAGCATTACCCCAGCATCCACGGAGACTTCAGCAACGACTTCAAGCAGCCCTGCGTGGTCTTCACGGGACACCCCTCGCTCCGGTTTGGGGACGTGGTGCATTTCATGGAGCTGTGGGGGAAGTCCAGCCTCAACACCATTATATTTACAGGTAAGAGCCTGGCCGGGAGAGTGGAGTGTGGACTGACTCCAACTACAAAAGCTGAGGCTGTTGAACAGATTCTTGGGCTGGAGTATTGCTTATGGAGAGAGCTTGTTGCTGTTACTGATATTATTGTTGTATCTTTAGTTAGATCTTATGGTTTACGTAGAAATTGTTTCCGTTTGGCTGTTGTTTCCTCCAAACCGGAGGAGACCTTCCCCAAGGTTTGCGTGTGTTTTGTCCGAATCCCTCTCTCTCTTTCCATTTACAGAGCCCGACTTCTCCTATCTCGATGCCCTGGCTCCATACCAGCCGCTGGCTATGAAATGCGTTTACTGCCCCATCGACACCAGGCTGAACTTCATCCAGGTCTCCAAACTACTCAAAGAAGTCCAGGTACACCAGGGCAGACCTCTCTCCACTTAACAGGCCTCGCTGCAGAGCCAAGCTGGGCTTTCCCACTAAACCAAGGCTAGGGCCTTCCAGGGCCAGCGATGGTGGGACATGGCAACATCTCAAAGGCCACAGGCTCCCCATTCCTGCCCCAAACACTTGGCCATTTCCAAAACACAGCAGCTGTGTGTTGTAGAATCATAAGAGTTGAACAGGGCGTGGAAGGTCACCTGGCCCAACCGCAGATTTGATGCAGGTGGCAGCCTTTGCCTGAAGACCTCCAGCCCAGGAGAGGCCACTTACCCTTCCTAGGCAATGGGTTCTATTGTTGAACCTATCTGACCGTCATCGTCGGAGCCGTCTTTCCCATAGGGTTTAGTGGCGCGTCGCGCCAGGGTGCCGGCCTCTCAGGGGCGCCCCAGCAAATGGGGGGGCTGCGCGGCTTTGCTGGCAGCCTCCCCTTTCCCTGCATGCCCGCCAGCTCCTCAGGAGGAGAGCAATCCCTGCAAAGGCTTAGGATGGAAGCTGCGCCCTGCAGGAATGGGGGAAATTTATAACTTACCTTAAAGACCATTGTGAACAGTTAAAATTGTCACTAGGATTGGAATATCACTTGTCGTTTAAGAGTGAATTCTGGACACAACGGAGATCTAAAAGATTTGGATTGTTCTAAAAGATGCAGGAGGAAATGATGAATGATAGGACCCACAAAGGAGAGGATGGAAGTCCAGGAGATTCCTTGGAATCTTGTTTTTATGATCTATGTTCAATATATGATTGCAAAATTTCAATTTGAAAAACCAAATAAGTAAATTTATTTATTTTTTTAAAGAAGAAAGAGATTCTTGCTTTGGTACATGTAAACTGCCTTGTGATCTTTGGATGAAGGGCAACGTATAAAATAAATGTAATAAATTCTAACAAGGCATCTACCGCAGGGGCTTACGGATCAGGGCATGGATGTGTGTCTGTCCCTTGACTCCTTATTTTCCTCCCGTCTCCCCCCGGCAGCCTCTCCACGTTGTTTGTCCGGAGCAGTACACCCAGCCCCCTCCCACCCAGGCCCACCGCACGGACCTGATGGTCGACTGTCTGCCCCCACCCATGTCCTACCGCAGAGCTGAGGTGCTGACCCTCCCGTTCAAACGGCGCTACGAGAAGATTGAAATCACGCCAGAGGTGAGTGAGTGAAGGCGAACCAAGGTATGGGGTGGAGGTGTGTTGGGGGGGGTGGGAACTATCGGGAACTGGAATGAAGAGGAAGGGGAATGGTGGAGATCGCCTCCCCCTTCTTCCGTAGCTGACAGGGAAGTGGGAGGCTGTGTAGAATTACAGCTGAACTATGAAGGAGATAGGGACGCGGGTGGCGCTGTGGGTTAAACCACTGATCCTAGGGCTTGCCGATCAGAAGGTCAGCGGTTTGAATCCCCGTGACGGGGTGAGCTCCCGTTGCTCGGTCCCAGCTCCTGCCCACCTAGCAGTTCGAAAGCATGAAGTGCAAGTAGATAAATAAGTACCACTCTGGCGGGAAGGTAAACGGCGTTTCCGTGCGCTGCTCTGGTTCGCCAGAAGTGGCTTAGTCATGCTGGCCACATGACCTGGAAGCTGTACGCTGGCTCCCTCGGCCAATAAAGCGAGATGAGTGCCGCAACCCCAGAGTCGTCCACGACTGGACCTAATGGTCAGGGGTCCCTTTACCTTTATGAAGGAGAGAACAAGTCAGATACAGGCGAGCAGCCAGGTTACGAGGTGTTAGGAGAAGCCGGGGCAGCGCGGGACAGAGCAGCCAGCAGACACTGTCAGGAGCTCGTCCTACACTCGAGTAGGACCCTGGCAGAGAGACATGCCTAACTGGCATGTTCTCTCCCTCCTGGTTGATGGTTCGGGAACTTCAAAAGCTTTCTTCAGCCAGGACATCACAGCGACCGATGCCAACAGACATCGGCACACTTAGGGATCCACAGAGTGTTTGCAGTTTGCGTAACAGACCTCAGCAACTCAGCATTTTGGCTAATCTACTTTATTTACATATAAACACACACGGAGCACTGCAACATGGCTCCCTCTCTCTCTAGCATCAGACAGCAAAGAGAAAGAACAAAGGACAATAGTCCCACTTCACGGAACACAGTAACACAAACATCCTGTCTCCGTCACTTCCCACTCTGTGGAGTCAAAACATACACCGTCATGTGATAGACAACAATCCCATGACTGCAATCACGGAGCAGGAATTCTAACAGACACCATTAGACAGCATCAGATCAGGGATGTCCAACAGGTCGATTGTGATCTACCAGTCAATCTTGGGGTGTCCCTTGATTGATTGTCCCCCAAAAGACAAAAATTGAAAAGCTCAACCACTTTGGGTCTTCCTCCCCAGAAAAGCTCAACAACTTTGGTCAATCCAATGGGTAGATCACTGCCAGTTTTTTTATAGTGGATTGCAGTCTCTCTGGAGTTGGATGTGTCTGGCATAGATGATCCGCTGTCCCATAGAACACGACGTTCGTTAAGGTTGCAGGAGCAACAGACGCAGAGGCATTTGACCACAGGGGGCCTCCGTAGGTTCAGATTCTGTTGGGAGAGAGGGAAGGGCGAGGAGCCAGAGTGAACAACATCCCTGACCGTGAGGACTTTGCCTCTGACCGTGAGGACTGAATTAATCATAAGTAAGGCACAGGTGGCGCTGTGGGTTAAACCACAGAGCCTAGGACTTGCCAATCAGAAGGTCGGCGGTTCGAATCCCTGCGGCGGGGTGAGCTCCCGTTGCTCGGTCCCTGCTCCTGCCAATCTAGCAGTTCGAAAGCACGTCAAAGTGCAAGTAGATAAGCAGATAAGACATCTGGCGGAAAGGTAAACGGCGTTTCCGTGCGTTGCTCTGGGATTTCAGGCAGGATTCGATCCCAGCCCCGAACCTGGGCCCTTCTGCACACAGAGCAGGTGTTCTCGCCCTGAGCCACGGCTCCTCCTCAAACCTTTGGAAACCAGGGTCTTCACACCGACACAGGATTTCAGGCAGGACATTCCCAGACCTACCTGGACATGCCAAGGATTGGGACCGCCTGCTTTAGTTGCAATTCCTACAAGGACACAGGTTGGACTATCAATGACCCCTGGTGGCTCCTTCGAGCCATATGATTCTGTGCCCACTCGCTGGATCATCACCTAGTCGTGGAGAACGGGCCTGCACGTTCCTATGACCCTTGTGAGTGAAGAAGAAGCAAAGATCACCAGTGTTGAAGCAATGATTCTTCAACATCAACTTTGTTGGACTCGTCATGTGGTTTGTATGCCTGATTATCGTCTTCCAAAGCAACTACTCTATTCCGAATTTTAAAATGGAAAGCATAATCCTGGTGATCAACAAAAGAGGATCAAAGACTCTCTCAAGGCAAATCTAAAAAAATGTAGTATAAACACTGACAACTGGGAAACACTGGCCTGCGAGCGCTCCAGTTGGAGAACAGCCTTTACCAAAGGTGTCGTGGTCTTTGAAGACACTCGAACTCAGGACAAAAGGGAGAAACTTGCTAAGAGGAAGGCATGCTTGGCAAATCCACACCATAATCAACTCCCACCCAGAAACCAATGTCACCGCTGTGGAAGGACGTGTGGGTCCAGAATTGGCCTCCACAGTTACTTACGGACTCATTGTTAAAACCGTGTTTTAACTCGGCTACGAGCGATCACCAAAGAATATGTTGATTCTGTGATTTAAGCATCTCACGGCTTGCAAGACAGCAGGTTCATCCCCACCCGGGTCCAAACCCCAATTGCTGCTTTTAGCTGAGCCCTCTGTATGCATTTCTGGCAGCTGAGGCTAGTTTTGGTTCCAATCCAGGCAGCTTCATGTGACTTGCGTTCAAGGTGCTTGGAGGAGTCAGCTGACACATAGTATGCACTAGCCTAAAGAGGGAGCCACTTCTCTGTTTTGCCTGGCCACTGCACAGCCCACAAAAAATACATAGAATCGTGGTTGGAAGGGGCTCCTAGTTCACACACCACCCCCCCAGAAACGCAGGAATCGGAGCTCAAGTATCCCTGAAAGATGGACACCCAATGTCTGCTTTAAAAGCCCAGTACTTTGTTCCAACACTGAACACCTCTTATCGCCAGAAAGTTCCTCCTAAGGTTTAGTCAGAATCTCCTTTCTTGCAACTTGGTTTGGGTCTTCCCCTCCAGAGTAGCAGAAAAGAAGCTTGCTCTCTCTTCCTTGTGACAGCTCTTCAGATATCTGAAGAGTGGTGGTACAGTGGTACCTTGGTTCTCAAATGCCTTGGTACTCAAACAGCTTGGAACCCGAACACTGCAAACCCGGAAGTAAGTGTTCCGGTTTGTGAACTTTTCTCGCAAGCTAAACGTGCTCCATTTTGAGTGTTACGCTTCCAATTTGAGTGCCACACTTCTGTTTTGAGTATTACGCTGAGGTCTGTCTGTTTTTGCTAGTTATTTTGCGTTTTTGTTTTTGAGACTGTGTGGAACCCAGTTCAGCTACTGATTGATTGGTTGTGTGACTGCACTACATTGCTTATTGCTTTCATTTTATGGATCAGTGGTCTCGTTAGATAGTAAAATTCATGTTAAATTGCTGTTTTAGGGGTTGCTTTTAAAAGTTTGGAGCGGATTAATCCATTTTGCATTATTTTGTATGGGAAAGCGCGCCTTGGTTTTGGAACGCTTTGATTTTGGAACGGACTTCCGGAACGGATTAAGTTTGAGAACCAAGGTACCACTATATTGGAATGATTTACAGGCTAGCCTTGCGTGATCTCAGAAGAATCTGATGGAATCCAGTTCAGCCTCTGATCTAAAGCACTGCCTTCTTCCTTGCAAACAAACTTTGCACCACTTTAGAAAGAGCCCACAAGCTGAAACTGCCACCCCCCCTTTATTGCAGCTCAAAGGGGTGTCATTTAGCACAGGGTGTAAAAACGCAACGCAGAGCCCTGTGTGCAATTAACTAGCTTCCCTAACGAACGCAGGGCTTGCCCCCACTGCTGCATCTCCCCATCCAATTTAGAAGGGAGCGCCGATATGCTCATTTGCATTTAAAGAGCCCATTTGCCTGAATTGGAACTCTGAGTCCAGGAGCGTGTTTCTAATTGGGAAAATAATTGCCCCCCTTGCAGCAGACTCTCCATGTACTTAGCTGTTCTCGAAATGTGCTTATTTCTCTGGTCCCGTTAAGCCAAGAAGTCATACAATGAGGTGGCGGTTCTTATCGGTGATGGTGGGGGTTGCATTGAACAGTAAAAGTCAGCCCCGTCAGAGGGAGCCCATTGGGCTTATGAATGGGCACTACCTAGGGGTGGGCTGTACCCCCTGTGTTTACATTCCCAGTGGGAAGATTTTGGTTTGCTTGAGAAATTCTTGACGCCCGTGGAAAAATACCTATTCGTCCCAGTTTTGTATTTCTTTGACCGAATCAAAAAGTTGCTTGAGCAGATCCATTTCCACCAGGAAAATACACTACAAAACTTCTCTCGAAACCCCTGCTGTTAATGCCTTAAACATTAGAGAGAACTTTCTGACAGTCTTCTTCTTCTTTGGCAATCCCTCGTAGCCAAGTAAGATGGTATTCCATGTACATGCTCTTAACTGTGATGGTGGAGGCCAATTCTGGATCCACACGTCCTTCCACAGTGGGGACTTAGGTTTCCAGGTGGGAGTAAGCTCCTATTGCTCTGTCCCAACTCCTGCCTACCTAGCAGTTCGAAAGCACGCTAGTGCAAGTAGATAAATAGGTACCACTGCGGCGGGAAATTAAACGGCGTTTCCATGCGCTCTGGTTTCCGTCACAGTGTTCTGTTGCGCCAGAAGCGGATCAGTCCTGCTGGCCACATGACCCAGAAAGCTGTCTGCGGACAAACGCCGGCTCCCTCGGCCTGAAAGCGAGATGAGCGCCGCAACCCCATAGTCACCTTTGACTGGACTTTACCATCCAGGGGCCCTTTACCTTTACCTACCTGATCACAGTGAGGGTTTGCCAAGTGTGCCTTCCTCTTAGCACATTTCTTCCTTTTGTCCTGAGTTTGAGCGTCTTCAAAGTCCATGACACCTTTGGTAAAGGCTGTTCTCCAACTGGAGCGCTCGTAGGCCAGTGTTTCCCAATTGTCGGTGTTTATACTACTTTTTTAAAGATTTGCCTTCAGAGTCTTTAAACTTCTTTTGTTGACCACCAGCATTACGCTTCCCATTTTGTGATTCCTGACTTGCAGGGGGTCAGACTGGATTGCCCCCTGGGGTCCCTCCCAGCCTTACGATTCTATGATTCCATGAGTCAGACCAATTTTCTGACCAGCTCAGTGGTTCCCAAGCCCGCTCAGTGACTCAAGCCGTTCAGATGTGGGTCGCGATACTCTCCCTGCCCATCCTTCAGTGCCAGACAAGCCGCCCGCCGCCATCGTCCCCCTTGCCTGGCAAGCGCCTCTGCCCTTTCCGCTGTGTCCTTGGGAAATTAACTTCTACGGGTTTATGAAAGCCGCTCATCTAGGCAAAGGCACCTCCCTGCTTTATTCCTTAAACGTTTTCAAGCGCCCCTCGAGACTCATTACAGTCCCTGTAGCAGCAAAATGGCTTTAATGATGTCTGTGATGAAAGGCTTTTTAATAAAAAATTTAAAAGCCTCCGCTCGGCACACCCCACCCCCGAAAAGGAAAGGAGGGGGGAGGACAGATCACACTTGCCCATCTACCGCAGGCCGGATCCTCTGCTGTTCCCGCGTTCCTTCCAGGCCACAGAATACAGAGGTTCCAGTTTGCCTTCGCTGGACCTCTCTCTCCTTCTTCCTCTTAATGGCAGACCCCAACACAGCGCTGCTCGGAAACATACTGGGAAGCCAGCATAGAATAATTAGCAACTCATCAGCGAAACAACTGCAATTCATAAGACTCCTTTAACAAAGCGACAGCTGAGAAATTAAATTAAAGCAAAAGTCTTTTTTTTAAATTGCTTTATTGATTGTTAAAAAAGAGAAAAAAGTCAAGGGAAAAAAAATCAAAGGATAATACAAATTACAAAAAAGTTAATTTCTTACAACACAAGTTCTACTATGACTTCCAGTCACCCCATCAAGGGTCTTTTGAGTAGCGCACTTTTCATTGTCACTCCATACTTCTCCCAAATTTATATTTTAATAAGGTTTTCTACATTCATACAGGGGTCAGTCTAAGCCTGCCAGAGAATTCACATTTTTACAATGCCCTTTAAGATACTTTCTGTAAACGTCCCACTCTCTAAAAAATGTTTCTTCTGTATTATCTCTTAATTTTTCCCGTCATCCTTGCTCATTCTGTGTATTCTAATATATGACCTCAGGGTGCAGGGAAAGAAAGAAAGAAAGAAAGAAAGAGGTGGCAGTTGTGCAAATAATCCCTTTTCGGAGGCTTCCAGGGTCCCTGCATGCTTTAAAAGTTGCATTCTGTGGGAGGAGTGTTTTGCGTCCTTCTGGTTTTCGGGAAAATAAAATTGCCTGATTGCACTTGAAGTGGCTAAATTTGCTCCTGTGTGTCTGTGTGTCTGTGTATAAAGTGGCTCCATCTTTCTTTCACCAGCTTGCAGATTCACTGGTGCCCACTGAGATGAAGCCGGGGATCTCCTTGGCGACCGTTACAGCTGTTTTGCACACAAAAGACAACAAACATGTGCTTCAGGTGGGGTGTGAATACTGGGGTGCTGGCAGGGGAAGGGTTTCGGTGAAAGCCGCTCCCTGTGACTCTGATCCCTGGGGTTTCCCAGTTAGTTAACCAGCAGTTGTGCTCACCAAATCCCAGCAAAACCCCTGGGACAAAACGTTTCTCTTTTGTGTGTGTGCTGGGGTTCGCAAGAGAAGCTGAACCCCTTAATCAAAATCAATTCCGTTTTGGAACAAACAGCAGGCAGCCGAGAAGGATCCTGGGGCTCAAACCTATTAATTTTTATTGCTGTTTATTTGACTTGTGTTTCTGTGCACGCACACACACGATAAACAGCTCAGAACTAAGGTAAGCTGAAAGTACCCCTCACCCCCTAAAATATCTCCACAATTTAGAATTTATTATTTATACCCCGCCCATCTGGCCGGGTTTCCCCAGCCACTCTGGGCAGCTTCCAACAGAGTATTAAAATACAGTGGTCTCTTAAACATTAAAAGCTTCCCTAAACAGGGCTGCCTTCAGATGTCTTCTAAAAGTTTGGTAGTTGTTTATTTCTTTGACATCTGGTGGGAGGGCGTTCCACAGGGAGGGCACCACTACCGAGAAGGCCCTCTGTCTGGTTCCCTGTAACTTGGCTTCTTGCAGTGAGGGAACCGCCAGAAGGCCCTCAGCGCTGGACCGCAGTGTCCAGGCAGAACGATGGGGGTGGAAACGCTCCTTCAGGGATACTGGACCGAGGCTGTTTAGGGCACAATTAAAGCAACAGCTAATTAATGCATAATTAAATGCACAATTAAAGCAACAACATGGTTTTAAAGTGGGAGAAGGCAATCCTTTTTTATGCATCAGACTTCCCCAACCTGGTGCTCTCCATGTGCTTCAACCATCTCTGAACAGTTTGCAGAAATAAAAACATAAAACCGAACATCCGTCTCCTTTTGCGTCGACAGCTCCCCCCAAAGCCTCCTCAGCCTCAAGGGGGCAAGAAGAGGAAGCGGGTGGCAGACGAAGTTCCGGAGCTGAAACCCGTCAAGCCTTTGCTGAGCGGCTCCATCCCCATGGACCAGCTGGTGCAGACCCTGGAGAAGGTAAGCAGCGGCTGCCTTCACGGCCAGAGCACCGGGGAGGCGGTTGGCACCCGTCCGCCTTGAGAGACAATGGAGTGTGCCTCCGGGGGTGAGAGACAATGGAGTGCGCCTCCAGGGGTGAGAGACAATGGAGTGCGCCTCCGGGGGTGAGAGACAATGGAGTGCGCCTCCGGGGGTGAGAGACAATGGAGTGCGCCTCCAGGGGTGAGAGGAAATGGAGTGCACCTCCGGGGATAAGAGACAATGGAGTGCGCCTCCGGGGGTGAGAGACAATGGAGTGCGCCTCCAGGGGTGAAGTCAAACCACTGTGCCAGCAGCACCGAAGGGACCTCCCTGGGGTGCCAGCCTGGTGGGCAGTGTGTCTGGAGGTCCTGGGCTGCTCGGACAACAAGACCCCCCTCTCGGCCTCACTGATGTGGGCCAGAGGAAAGCAGAGCAGTGTGTTTGACACCAGCTTGGTGGCAGGAGTTGCAGGAAGGAGGCATACAAGGCTAAAAGCAGGGGTATAGCTGTCCCCATCTGCAAGTTTCCATCAGGAGGAGCATAGGAAGAGGACGATGTCCTTCAGTTTGTTAAGATAAAACGTATTGGGGAAAGAAACTACTTTTGCCATTTTTATGGATGTTTATTTTTCATTTTTTTAGGCTTGGTGATATTATCTTGTGTTGATTGCAGCAGTCATTGTATCACTGTTCATTGTTTCATAAATATACCGTATTTTTTGCTCTATAAGACTCACTTTTTCCCTCCTAAAAAGTAAGGGGAAATGTGTGTGCGTCTTATGGAGCGAATGCAGGCTGCACAGCTATCCCGAGCCAGAACAAGAGGGCTTTTCACTGCGTAGCGTCCCTCTTGCTGTTCTGGCTTTTTAAGATGCTGTCTAGGTTTGTCATTGCTTTTCTCCCAAGAAGCAGGCGTCTTTTAATTTTGTGGCTGCTGCCCCATCTGCAGTGATCATGGAGCCAAGAAAGTAAAATCTCTTACTGCTCCATTTCTTCCCTTCTATTTGCCAGGAGGTGATGGGACCAGTGGCCATGATCTTCGTTTTTGATGTTGAGCTCAGACCATATTTTGCGCTCTCCTCTTTCACCCTCATTAAAGGTTCTTAATTCCTCACTTTCTGCCATCAAGGTTGTGTCATCTGCATATCTGAGGTTGTTGATATTTCTTCTGGCAATCTTAATTCCTGGCATATAGCAAAAAGAAACTACTTTTGCCATTTTTATGGACGTTTAGTCGTCTTTTTTTTAGGCTTGGTGATATTATCTTGTGTTGATTGCAGCAGTCATTGTATCACCACCCTGTTCATTGTTTTATAAATATAATTCAGGCAAGGGGCGGCCGACCCCTGTACACCTTTGTTCATGCTGAGTCATAGAACCGGAGAGTTGGACAGGGACCCAAAGGGACCCAACTCCCTGGAATGCAAATCCTCCCATTTGCCACACTGCCTCTGGTTTGCCAGCTGAACATCTCCCCCTTCCCTTTTCCCTGTCCCTCTGCAGCACGGCTTCAGCGACGTGAAGGTGGAGGACACCCCGAAAGGCCACATCGTGCTCTTCCAGGACGTGGAGACCCTCATCCGCATCGAGGAGGACTCCACGCACATCATGTGCGAAAGCGACGAGGCGCTCCGGGTGAAGCTGCAGGACCTGGTCCTCAAATTCCTGCAGAAGTTCTGAGGCCTCGGCCTGCCTCGGAGTCCGGCCGCCGTCCCCCCACAGCAGGGTCAGAAAAAGGAAGCGGCTGCTGACCCAAGGGGAAAGCAGAGAGGCTCATTTTAGAGTGGCAACAAATTGCACAGTTCTCCAGAGTGTGGTTGCCGGGGCTGCCGTGCCATTTTAAAAACCAGGAATAATTAAACAGGCACAATTTTTCCACTATCGTGACACAACGATGGAGGCAGCTGTCCCATATACCCCCACCCCAAATGCCAACATCACTGGGGCATTTTGTAGAATTCCAGCAGGCTGCATGGTCCCTGGTAGAAGTCGAGGCAGGGGAGGAGACACAACGTTTTGTAAACAAACAAACTGATAGTGCTCATGAATTGCGTTTCCTGTTCCATTCTCTGGAATGTTTAACATAACTCTTTTGGACTACACCTCCCATCAGCCCCAGCCAGCATGGGGGAGTTGTTTACCAAAATACCTAGCAGGTACCAGCTTGGCAAAAGTTGAATTAAAGCATTTTCTCTCCCCACCCCACCCCCCTATTTTGGAAGGGACCAGCCCCTATTATTTTTAAATGAAGTATTTTGCTTTATGTTTGTGACGACGCGTTTTCGCCGCCTGTCAGTTCTCCTTTGTGTTGTAATACTGATTGTTTACTCAAAGAAATGCTTTTTTTTCCTAAAATAAAACCGAGAGACCCGGTCATAGTTTATCCCTTTTTTATTAAAAGAAAGCACCACTTATTGTTGTGGGCTTCCAAGACTGCATTGGGCATCAATAAAGGCTTTTCTTAAGGAGTGTGGTCAGATAACCAGCTCTCTGGTGTTTTGAATTAGCGTATTTTTCGCTCCATAAGATGCACCTGACCATAAGATGCACCTAGTTTTTAGAGGAGGAAAACAAGAAAAAAAAATTCTGAAAGAAACAGTGGGTGTATGATTTTTGTGGTTCATGCTGTGGCCACAGACATGATATGTGATTTGACGGTGAGTTTGGGGTAGCCCAATGCAAAAATCCTGAGGATCCATGTGGATCCATGCTTTGTAACCATGTTTTTGCGCCATTGCTGCCCCACAAAACAGTGGGTGCATGTGTGATTTGGTGCAGGCTGTAGCCATGGACATGCTATGTGATCTGATGGTGAATTTGGGGTGACCCAATGCAAAAATCCTGAGGATCCATGGGCTTTTCCCTCCCCCCTCCCAGGCAGCCTCCCTTATCTCCCCTCCCGATTGCTTGCTGATCAGCTGCTCAGCGGCTTTGTTTCAACACCCCCTTCCGTTTTGTTTTTTTTAAAAAGCACGATCTGCTTTTTGCCCCTGGGCAATTCGGCTCCAGGGACGACACATTCACTCCATAAGATGCATAGACATTTCCCTTTACTTTTTAGGAAGAAAAAAGTGTGTCTTATGGAGCGGAAAATAAGGTAGTTGCAGGTCCTTTCTGGATCCTGTGTAGTATGTTCACAGGGAGGGAATTCCAAAGGGTTTGGGGGCCACAACAGGAATGGACCTCCTGATAAGATGGCTGTGCTGGCTCCTTTTCTCCTGGTCCAGCAGCCTCTAAGCACATCTGGGCTCCAAATGCATAATGAGCTCCCCCAACGAACGGAAAGAGAGACCGTTAAGGAGAGATCGGACCAGAGTGATTGGCGGCTGTGGGAATAGCCAAACCTCAAAGCCACCATCTTATCGGCCTGCCTTGCAAGTGGTGACACCTGTCTGAGTCTTGTATTAATCGCCTGCCTAATAGCCTCTGATTTCCCTCTGCCTTATATATATTTACAATTTCTAATCACAGCCATATTTTACTGCAACCTGCTGTCAAGGCAGCAGCGATCCTTGACTGGTTGACTGCAGAAGTTTCGTTCTGTCGGTAATTGATGGCTTTTGCTTTCCACCACTTCCTTTCCTTCCTGGACGCCATTCATTATTAACTGCAGGGCAGAGAGAGAGAGAGAGAGAGAGAGAGAGAGAGAGAGAGGTGGGGAGGAATAATCCAATTACATTCCAAGTTTTAACAGGCTTATTCCAGAGCCCCGGGAATTCTGGATTTGTGCACGTTGGTGCTCATTAGCTCTCGCAGGCTCCCAGCTGTCACTTCTTTCAAAAAGCAAGGCGCTAGTCCACATGGAACTGAAGGCATCGGTAAAAATGTGGAGACAGGTTTGTGCCTGCATGAGTGCTTCGCCTGCAATCCATCCTTATAACCTGCTAGGATAGACATGGAAGCAAGAGGTGGGAAAATGTCAATCATAGTTCGGTGGCCTGGATCCAATATTTTTGCATGTCTGTGACTGGGGAGCACCGTCCTCTTCCAACAGAGCAGTAAAACAAACAAAAAAGGAGTTTGTACTCTGACTCTAGTTTTACACTGTATGGGAAATGTGATTCCTCGTCTCCTTTTTTAACATTTAAAAATTGTGCTGCACGTGCCAATATAGTTGATTATCTCATCACAAGTAGAGCTGGACCAGTTTTGCGACTAAGAGTAACTTACAACACCCCTGAAATGCAGCGCAGTGTTAGTACTGCCAGTTATGGGTGGGGCTAGAGGCCGCTTTGCCTTTCCAGCCAATTTAATTTAATTCCACACACGAACACACATATCCCAGCCCAAATCCAGTGTTCAAGCAGCACAGACAAGTTGCATATTCCAATATTTTAAAAGAGGAAATGTGTTACGTGCAAACTAAGAGCAGGCACTTGCACAGCTAGCAAACTGTTTCCCATAATTTGCAAGCCTGTGTTGCCCAGATGCTGAGACTTTTTGCAGGGGTTTTGCAAGCTCAGGATGGTGGGGTGGGGTGGACCCTTAACCTGTCAGCTGCTGATCTCTGTGCTGGTGGCCTGCAAAGCAGGAGGGAGAAAGATTTGTGCCCCCCTCGCCCTGTGCAACCCAGTTTGCATCGCAGTGCTGCAAGCCCCGCAGAGCGAGGCCGAAATCCTAGGCGTGGGAATTGCCTTTTCGGAGCCCGAGAAGAAAATTCTGTTTATTCCTCGCTGCAGCCGGCGACACCGGTTCCACGTCCATCACATTTATGCTAAATTGAAATAACACAGATGCAAACAAATTGGAACAGCGAGGGGCTGGAGACCTTGGCTGTGCAGAAACAGCACACAGAAGCTGATGTCTGAAATCGGGAACAAATTCCCCACTGGGGCCCACAGCGAGAACCTGCAATGAGCTGCTCAGTGGGGCACAGAGCGAGTGAGCAGAGTGGGGGGGGGGAGCAAGAAAGCTTTCTATTCTCATCCACCCCACGGGCAAGGTCTCTGTCGCCTCCCCCGGCAACACACCGCCTCCATTTCTGTATTTTCTTGGGTCTGTGGCCAAAATCTTTGGCTGAACAGAACGTTTTCCTTAGTAGTTCCTCCAAGCTGGGGAGTGTGGGATGCATAGATAAAGGTAAAGGGACCCCTGACCATTAGGTCCAGTCATGGCTGACTCTGGGGTTGCGGCGCTCATCTCGCTTTATTGGCCAAGGGAGCCGGCGTACAGCTTCCAGGTCATGTGGCCAGCATGACTAAGCCACTTCTGGCAAACCAGAGCAGCGCATGGAAACGCCATTTACCTTCCCACCGGAGCGGTTCCTATTTATCTACTTGTACTTTGACGTGCTTTCGAACTGCTAGGTTGGCAGGAGCAGGGACCGAGCAACGGGAGCTCACCCTGTCGCGGGGATTCGAACCGCTGACCTTCTGATCAGCAAGCCCTAGGCTCTGTGGTTTAACCCACAGCGCCACATAGGTCCTAGCTAAGGCTAGGATTCCCCAACCCATTGCTGTAATTGCAAATGGAGGTGGGAATTAGTTTCTCAGTCTATTTTAGCTGAGAAGGGACGGGAAGGGAGTTTGGTGGCCTTAGCTAGGACCAGGTCAGAAGTCCTCATAGAGAAGGGGGAAATAAACACTATGCAATATCCTGTTACCGGGCAATCTCAACACCGAGTAAGAAAGAAAATCAAGCTGCTAGGCGGATGTCAGTGGAAACAGAAGGAAACTAAATGCGGCGTTCATTCACAAAAGTGTTGATAACACAGACATCTTGGCATTGGTAAGCCAAGTAATGGATTTATTTCCAGTATAATTAAAGAACTAGGCCACCCAAGGCTCTGCTGCTCAGAAGACAGGGTGGCATGTTCACTGTAATTTAGGGGTGTCCAGGTGCTACCTTTTCACCCCCATAGCAGAATTTTGCTTGCACAATAATAATAATTATTAATAATTTATTATTTATACCACGCCCATCTGGCTGAGTTTCCCCAGCCACTCTGGGCGGCTTCAAATCAAGTGTTAAAAACAATACAGCATTAAATATTAAAAACTTCCCTAAACACGGCCGTCTTCAGATGTCTTTTAAAGATAAGGTAGCAGCTTATTTCCTTCACATCTGATGGGAGGGCGTTCCACAGGGCGGGCGCCACTACCGAGAAGGCCCTCTGCCTGGTTCCCTGTAACCTCACTTCTCACAATGAGGGAACCGCCAGAAGACCCTCGGAGCTGGACCTCAATGTCCGGGCTGAACGATGGGGGTGGAGACGCTCCTTTAGGTATACTGGGCCAAGGCTGTTTAGGGCTTTAAAGATCAACACCAACACTTTGAATTGTGCTTGGAAATGTACTGGGAGCCAATGCAGATCTCTCAGAACCGGTGTTATGTGGTCTTGGCGGCCGCTCCCAGTCACCAGTCTAGCTGCCGCATTCTGGCTTAATTGCAGTTTCCGGGTCACCTTCAAAGGTAGCCCCACACAGAGCACATTTGCAGTAGTCCAAGCGAGAGATAACCAGAGCATGCACCAATCTGACGAGACAGTCCGCTGGCAGGGAGAGTCTCATCCTGCGTACCAGGTGGAGCTGATAAACAGCTGCCCTGGACACAGAATTGACCTGCGCCTCCATGGACAGCTGTGAGTCCAGAATGACTCCCAGGCTGCGCACCTGGTCCTTCAGGGGCACAGTTACCCCATTCAGGACCAGGGAGTCCCCCACACCCACCCGCCCCATGTCCCCCCAAAACAGTACTTCTGTCTTGCCAGGATTCAACCTCAATCTGTTAGCCGCCATCCATCCTCCAACCGCCTCCAGGCACTCACACGGGACCTTCACCGCCTTCACTGGTTCTGATTTGAAAGAGAGGTAGAGCTGGGTAGAGGAAGAACTTCCCCCTTCCTTCTCCCCTGAAGCCCCCCGATGGATTCTCAAAATCTGCTCCAGAGGACTGTCCAGAACAGATTTGGGGGGGGAGGAGAGGAGAGTGCGAGTGGTCCCATTTCTCTCCTTCAGACAAGGTGGGAAATCTCCCCTCCGGCAAGATCAACTTCCTTCGGAATAAAACCACCCGGCCTTTATTTGAAAGCATGAACTATTCTTAACTGGGAGCGGCATTGTTTAAAATAAACAGTGATAGTGCAAAAACACCCTCGCCCTGCATTTCTCAAGAGCTCGTGCTCAAATTTGTTTTGACTGCACATCACACAAAAATCCCCTTCCACGTTAAATATTGTATTAACTGATAGCATTGGATTAAAACTCCAGCCACATGCTAGAAAGGTGATTTATGATCTGCTTTGCCTTTCAGAGCAAGTCTGATTTCTCTCTTATTCTAGGCAGCAGCAGCAGAAGAGGGGGGCTGTGTGTCCCCTCGTAGGGATGTGGGGTAGAAAATGGGAAGGGGGAGCTGGAGGTGGGGGCAGGGAGAATTCCCCCAGACCCATGGCATGGTTGGAAATGGGTCAACTCCTCCTCCCCATTCATCCTGGTCCTTGGCCAGTTCCCTGCCAGTTTATTTGTCAGGCCTCTTGGCAAGTTTATTTTTAAAAGGG